GGTGCCGCAGTGATGCATTTTCCCGGACTTGTTCAAGCCCTCCGTCGCTCTCCTTATGTCCTTCAGGAGCTGTTTTCTTGTCTCCCTTCAACCGGTCTGCCATTTGTCTCATTGAATCCCATTCTTCGATCCTATTAGCGCGCTCCCTGCTTTCGGATTTCAGCATCATACGCAGCCTTTTTTCATCTCTTTCTTTTTTCGGGGCCAGGAGTGTGTCCACCCTTTACTGGTCTTGCAGCGCAGCGTGCGTCTACATTGCCGTCATCAGCGGGTAGCTAGAGCAGAGAACGCTTCGCTGTATCAGCGTTTACTCCAAGTTTCTTGAACGACATATGCTTCCAACAAAGTCCCACGGAAGCGAAACAACGCAATGAATTTTGCCGACGCAGATCAGGCAAATGGGGGGAGTGGAGCACTCCTACTCGCGAATGTTGCTCCCCCTGTACCCTCAGCGGTCTCATCAGAGGCAACGCCAGAACCCGCTAGCGTTGCTAATGTAGCACAGAGCTGTATTCATACCTGGAATGATGTGATAAACCGGCTCGACGAATATCTTATTTATATAGAGCAACAAGCGTGATTATTTTTTCCTCTGTAACTCAACAGCAGCAATGCTTGGCGTAGCAGCGGCAGCACAGTCCGCAAAAAGGGAGTCCCCTGCTCATCTCTGTACAGGCGGACCAGCTTGTCGCTTGACTTGAAAGTGAGCCAACCCCTTGCTCATAGTGAGAAGCGCTTTCGGCTCCCGCATGTGCGTGTACTTCAAACGCTTATCCCAGTGTAAATGACCATTCGTCCTTTTTGCTACCTATTGCCAACGAAACTCCTGCGATGCTCGCACGGAAACAGGTGTGGTAGCTCTCAGCTCAGGCTCTACAACAGCCTTCGCGCCCGAGGCTAGACGGTATTCTAGAAAGCTGCCTTGAGAGGTGTGTGGCTAGCCACCTGTATAGCAGTTTGGGCCTGGCTAGCTAAAAGCTAGACTGGCAAGTACACCGACAAGCGCAAGCTTTGCATAGGGCACCAAAGCCGGCATTCCTGGACGCTGCAAGGCAACAGGGTGTGAATAGTTCGCGAGAAGGAGCGCCCTTAGGGCCTCCTGTAGTGCCTGACCACCTCACAGAATGCACGGTTGAGCTCGCTTCCTGTAAGAACAACAGCTTAGTAGGAAGCAAAAGACTTCGGGGAATCTGGCATCATGCACTATTTTCCTGGTTGCCTGTAGTGTGCTAACTGTGGTCCGTTGACTGAGCCGTAAGACCGCCTGGGAAGAGGTGTCCAGAGTAGCATGGGATGGCCTTCAGTGTGTATGCACCTCAACTGAAGAGATGCGCGAAATCGGAGGATATGATAGGTATGCATAAATATCCAACCGAAGAACGGAAGCAAGGTACGAAAAGGAGTTTATTGGTGGAGTTACAAGAGGGGTGAAGGGTGGGACTCTGTGTTTTTGTTTTACCCCGATAAAATGGGCCCCAGTAAAAACCCTGAAGAAATTCACATATGCTTGCACTGGGCGCGGAAGAATTGTATCGAGTCTGGCGTGCTAAATGGATGAGAAGCAGACATAAGCAGAAAAGCTGAATGCCTCAGGCTGTATATGCGACACGAAGGGGGGGCTTCAACAATTTTTATAACCCCCAAAAAAGGACCCTGACAAAGACAAACAAACAAGTAAAATCGTGGAAAAGCACTAATTGAGAAGATCTAAGTAAGTTACAATGGGGAATAATCATTTCTAGACAGCATGCTGCTTCAGCTGCTGCAGCTGCCCGGTATGGTATATGAGAACTCCTGCCAATTTTCGTGTGCCAGAGTACGCCGTTTTCTTTGTCTTCCTCTTTCTATTAGCTAAAAATTATTAAGACTTAAGCTTTCGATTGCACTTATTAGGAACAACTACTCGAGAGAGCGGCATCAACAGTTATAACACTGCCCTCTAATGGCTCAGGTGTCTCTACACCGCTCGCGCCTTGTTGAGCGGCAGTGTGAGAAGGGGTCTCCTCTTGCGGTTCGCTTATCTCCAGCTCTAAGTAGATAATTTTCCTCCATTTGCCTTCGATTCCCATTCTAAGCTACCGCTTTTGTTGCGCGTGTTGAAGCGCTGTCAGCCCGTATTCATTGCTGCTCGTATGCCGAGTCAAGGCGAGGATCGGTGGTCTGACGCGTGAATGGGCTTCTTTCCCTTTCTTCTTGTCTGCCTCTCTGTGCTTTACCGGAACATTGCTTCCTCGTGGTTTCTACTGCGTTGCTTTTGCCTTTCCTATTTGCTGCCCTAGTATTTTTCCCTGAGCTTCCGTCTCCCCGCTTTCAGAGCATCTGCGCCTCAGAGCGGTAATCACAACAATGCATTGCTTCCACTCCCCACAGGCGCATAGGAGTCTGGCGATGGTCTCCTGTGCCTATGGTCTTCAAAAGTCGCTCTCCTTTGACTCGGACCTCTTGGGTGTCTCTTCATGGGAAGAGGCCTCACTGGGAACACCCCAAGATGCGCTTGTGGAAACAAGTTGCATATTCAGTTGGAATAGAGAGATCGATCAACTAGACTTTTATGTTCTTTCCGTCGAAAAGGAAGCACGCCGCATCAGGCAGCAAGTAGCAAACAGAGAGCGGGAGTCTCACTCACCAGAGTCACCTCTCACTCCAGCAGAGCATCAGAGAGGCCTCTACGTAGAAGCCCCCGTGGACGCTGCAGCTCGGCTTGCTGTGCGTCCAATCGAACGGCAGAAGAAGAGGAAGTTGGCTGCTCTCACAAATGGCGGAGCCAAGCAAAGGGCCCATAGAAGCCATTGTATGACATGCAATGCGCCTCCCTCTCCAAATCTCGTTTCGACGGCGGCTTCCTCCCCTGCAGCTTCTCCCTATGCTCTCAGTATGTGAAATGCCGCGTCGTTATTTTCGACTTTAGGGTCCGAGGAACGAGACGGTCGAGGGTTGGCTCAAAGTAAGGGGTTTTGATGAAAATTAGCTGTTTTATGGCAATGCAGGACTGTGCATCACAGGGTATAGGATCTTGGAGCTTCTCAGGCGGAGGCTTTAGAGACACCAAACGTGCATCTATTTCCTCCCTCCCCTGCTGCGCATCTCTACCCCGACTCTATTCAAGGTGTTCCCTATTTTTTCAGATTTATACACTGAACTCCCACGGACCTTTACCTACGCATGGGCGTGCGCGGCCTAGGCAATTGTTGCGCCTCTCTTGCCTCACTGTCTTCAGCAGGAAGCATGCAGAACTTGTGTAGAAACTTGGATACACTTGTGTCATGTGTTTAAAGAGGCTGTTGAGAGCTCGCAATAGAACTCCGGCTTGTATGCCTTTTATTCCATACGGTCGATGAGATTGCCGAAGGATATTATGCCGTGGTTCTTGCCGCCTCAATAGGTAGCGTGGCTGCAACTACTGCGCTATGTGACAGTGTAGCGGATGGAGGCACTCCACGGGTCAAGAGGTGGTTCAAAGAAGTAAAGGGAACTCGTAGATTAATTAGCTTAATTGGTGTGTCATTTTAGGACCGGCGGCGATGTCACTATTTTAGTATCCTTGTCAGAAACGGATAGCGCGCGAGATCGTTTTGTCACTAATGGCTTCCGGGGCATGTTTCTTGTCTGTCCCTTTGTACGTTCGCCAATTGACTGTTCTGCGTGCTTCTAGTTGCGTCTCTGAGCCAGCCACCCTTGACAGGCTTGCCGCTCTCTTCAGACTTCCCTAGCGGCTCTCTCTTTCGCAACACGCAGGGTTCAGTTTGACCATCTTTTCTATGCACAATCACCGTAGAAAGCAGAAGTCTTGCAGCGCATGCAGGCAGACAAGCTACTACGAGGGATGGCGAGGCTCCCTACAGGGGATGGATGACAAGGCTACAGCGCCCCCGCTAGCTGGCCAGCTAGCCGTTTCCGTGCGGCTGGCTACCTAGCCTGCCTCAAAAAGTCCACGTAGCCAGATGCAAAAATAGTGGCTTCGCCAGCCAAAAGGGCCCCTGGCTGGCTCGCCAGAACCAGCCGCAATGTTGGACTAGCCATGGATAGCTACACAGTGGCAGCTGGCTGCAGCTAGCCACCGAAAAGCAGCAAGGTGTGGCACTCTGGAGGTCCTAGATGGTGCGTGCATGCATGTAGCTTTTGAATTCTGTGGGGGAAGATGCCAAGGATCGAGCTGCTGTAGTGGGGAAAGCAGGCACGCACTCCAACGTTTAACGTCGTTGAGAGAAGTCTCTTCCCCCCCTTGCGGCTACTGCTGCTGCAGATCTTGCAGGAGCTTACACGGGGTAGTACCTCACGGAGTGTACAGGGAGACACAGCAGCAAAAAGCCTCTAGAGCCACTGCAGCAAGCGGCGCAAACTCGCAGATGCCACTGCTGCTGGAGGTGTGAAGGGGGGTGGTGGTTGCCGCATTGCAAAGATCAAATGCAGCAGCAGCAGCAGGTGCTGCAGACGCTGCTGCTGCTGCAGGTGCTGCTCTGTCTCTTCAGCGCAGCGGCTTTACGGGGCAGCCTCGAAACGGCTGCCTGATCGGCAGTGCGTGTGCGGTGTGTTGACTGAGGTGCCAAGCAAATAATTGGAGACAGCGGGTTCGCAGGAGACGAAGAAGAAGGGGGCAGCGAGCGAGCGCTAGCAGGAGACGCCGTGAAAGGGAAAGGAGAGGCGGCACTAGACGCTTCGGGAGTAGCGAGGAGGCGCTCAGAAGAAAAGCCGCTTTATGTTGTGCTTGCAAGGGGTGTTGCTGTACACTGTGTGAAGATCCTTTGGGGCCCCACGAAGGATGTTGCAGGTGAGGCAGTGAAGTTGGAGGTGCCATTTCTGTCGGCGAGTCAGTCCGTCTGTGGCACGGCTGTCTCTGTGTGTTGGTTGCTGTACAAGTAGGGTGTAGAGTTGGATGGTACACAATACACTGGCGAGTGGGCAGGTGCAAGAGGCTGCATTTCCCAGCCAGCAAAACGGTCCATCTGCAGGAGAGGAGGAGGAAGAGGAGGACGACAACGACGACTCGCGCACGCCTTCAATCAGTAGATATACGCCGAGTACACCCCGCAGGCAATGCCTAGGAGGAGCATGAGGACGGCTGCCGGACCGACGATCTCCTTTTCCTCGAAGCGCGTGACGGAGTTGCAAGCTCCCGAGATGGAGGCAGTGGCGCAGCAGCCGCTGGTGAGTGCAAGCGCCCCCACGAGGCAGACATACCAGGGGAAGGCGTTCAGGAAGGGGTGGTTCCTGCAGAGCATGCCGAGGATGAAGAAAACGCCAAGAAGCGCGCGGCTCAGAACAAGGCTCACGAGGCTGCGCTTCGAAAGCCGCAACCACTGCAGGCGGGAGTGCCTCGCGAGATCCGGAAGCGCCTTCCCCACGAAGTCAAAGACGCAAAAGACACCAAACAAAATGATGTACTGCTCGTTCGCAGCGCTGAAGCCGCCGCCGTAATTCCAGCTCATCGGCCCCACACGCGGGTAGAGATTCAAGCTAACCACGAACGTGAAGAAGACACACAGCAAGTACACCCAGCAAGCCGACAGAATGCACCGCCAGCCTCGCGAGGGGAGAACGCTCTCGTCGACTTCTGTCGTCTGCGCGCGCTCCGCCAGAGGGGCGTCTGGAGGGGGGTACAGCCGCCACAAACTGCTGCCGCTGCTGTGCATGCAGCTTCCCCGAGAAGCTCCGTCGCAACTTCCGCCCCCTTCCCGCGCCGTGCAGCCTTCGCCTCCAATGACGACAAGCGCCTGCGTTCGCGCGTCTCCCGCTGCATGCACGGCAGCTGCAACTTCAGCTGCTGCCGCATGCGTACCCCTCCAGCGCCTCAGAAAGCGCCGCCACGGCGTCTCCGCATCCGCGGGGGGGCCCCCCAAAGAAGGGGCCCCCCCCGCCCTCGAGCCGCACGCACACGTCAGCGACCATACACCCCAGCGCCGCTCCCTAGGCGTCTCCCGCGCCTCCTCTTCCGCTGCAGCAGCCGCTGCAGCAGCAGCAGCTGCTGCTGCTGCTGCTGCGCGCCTGCGCTTTGCCGTCCAGTATCGCTGCAGACCTCTTCTAGCCCATGGCTGCCGCAGAGAAACCACCAGCAGCACTGCAGAAAAGACAGACACCGCTGCACTCGCTCCAAATACCAGCCTGCATGTCACACACACGCACACAAAACAACATACTCCCACCCCAAATCCACGGGAAAAGGGAAGGCGCGCTGTCTGCCGTGTCTGGAGGGGCTTCACGCCGAGTGCTCCTGGCGAACGAATCGACGCGTTTGCCACACTTTCTGCCATGCCTGGCTCCACAGCTAGCTTGTTTACACGTGTGTGTCTGAGCCCTCTTTCACAGCATTCAACAAGCACGCGATCACACACGCAGGCGCTGTCGCGTCCACCTGGCGTTTCGCTCTATCTCCAGCTAGCCGCTAGCTCTAGCTACGACAAGGCGGGGTAGACGAAAATCTGACCAGAACATAGACTTTGCGCCTTCAGAAGTCGCCAAGTCGAAGAGGTAACGCGAAGCCACGAGGTTTACCACAAAGGCGACAATGCCGCAGACGCCTTGGCCTGTTGCAGCAAGAAAAATTTGCAGCAAGAAAAATTTGCAGCAAGAAAAATTTGCAGCAGAAAGAAGAGGACGTGTGTGCATGCATGTGTGCATGCATGTGTGCATGTGTGCATGTGTGCAGCGCAACAGTTGACGGCCGATGGAAGCGGCAGCTAGTGGCAGAAAGTTTTTTTTACGCACACCTTCGGCAGCAGAGCACACAGCAGCAGTAGCATCTTGAGAGGCTTACCCATTGAGAACGATCCGATAAAGCCAAAGGGAACGGAGGATGCGAGAGCGATTGCTCCCCCCGAGACAACCCCAGCGCAGACACCAAAGCCGAGCGCAATGCAATGAAAAAGGGCAATGCTCAGGGTGTGTGTACACCTGGAGAGAACGAGCGGCAGAAGGAGGGCGAGAGCAGCATCTAGAACTATGGCTGCAACAAGCATGCCCGGCTTCATGGCGTCAATGAAGAGAATGAAGGCGACTTGCACTGCTATGCACCCCAGTTGGTAGATGCCTAAGACGCTATTGCCGTAAGGCGCGCCACCATACGCGTGCTGCTCTATATAAGGCAGCATCCCTAGAAGGGATTGCCAGCACACGAGAGAGGCAATGCCGCAAAACAAGAACGTCACGAATCCGAAGGCGACTTCTCTGGGGAGCACCTTCGCGGCTTCGTCGGGAGGGGGCAGCTTTGGAAAACCCCATGGCTCAGCATCCATCACGGAAGGATTATGATTGCAGCTGCAGCTGCCTAGAGCAGATGGGCAGTCGTGAATTCGTCGGCTGGACGCCTCCCTCGGTACCGTCGCTGTTGTCGTCACTCCCTGACGGGTGTGGCTGACGTCTGCCGAGAGGTTTCTGAAGCAGCTGCCCAAACCTTCCGCCTCCAGAGACTTGTCAACCATGCACTCTGCGCTGCTGGTGCGAGGTAGGCACTCCGGGGGAGGTGACCCCGACACGCCTCCCTGGAGAGCTCCCTGGAGAGACTTCTGCAACGGACGCGATGCGTTTTTCGCGTGAGGGATGTTTCGCAACTGCTGGAGAGGCTTTGCAGCATCGACTGTAGACGACGTATGGGCGATGCGGATTTCAACCATCTTGAATCCTACACCCTACTCCCGCGCGCTGGCAAGTACACCCCATGCAGCTCGGTGCGCGCGAGGGGCCGACCAGCTGCGAAGAGCAGAACTGCCGTCCCTTCCCGCAGACAACACGAATTCGTGCAGCAAATGCTGCAGGAAGCAAGGGGAAGGCGTCAGGGGGCGAGGGATGGCCGGAAACCGACCCGACATTGAGGGGACGACTGCTGCAGCGACAGACAAACGAGAGGGGTTACCACCGAGAGACATGGGGTAAGGGTTGCTCAAAGCCCTACTTGATGCAGCCGGCAAAGAGAAAGACACTAATTGGCGTAAAGCGAAGTCCGAATCGCCGCAGGAGTCGAAGAAGCACTCCCCTGCATGGGCCTGGGTCGAGGAGCAGTATCAAGAGCCACAATCGGATGCGCGTGGGGAGACATGCACCGTGAAAAGAATATTACGTTTTTCAGTATTACTGGCATTACATTTGCTAAAAGCACGTCAGTAGTAGGCTGGGGGAACCACATCGTTTTCTTGTTTATTAGACGCCGACGTCGCCGGAAACTGCATTTCCGGACTGTACGTACAGCCGGCGCCCCCTACCCTGTCTCGTGTTTCACTCGGGTTGCTCATGATCATCGTGCCTCAAACCGTGTCTGGGTAAATCGGATTTTGAATTCAAAGATTAAGAGGGTTTGTAGAAGTATTTCTCAGCACCAGGCTCCCTTGCTCGAGGGTCGCGACAACGGTAATGACGCAAGTGACTTGACTCATCGTGATCCATTGTACGCTAACTCTCCTAAGAGTTGAAGGCAAGCAGAAACACGCGAGTAAAACCCAAACTATCCCATCAATAGGCTATATCCAATTACGGCTCATCTGGCAGGAAAAGAGAGGAGAAAACACGAAATTCCGCTGCCGGGACTTGAACCCGGGTCGCGCGGGTGAGAGCCGCGTATCCTAACCACCTAGACTACAACGGATAGGGGACAATGTATTTACAGTGCACGTAAACCCTTTGAGGGGATATGTACGTTACGCTGTATTTTGCAGCGTGGAGTGAGCTCCAAACGGACTGCGTTGCAGAGCAGAAAATGATCGCGGAACTCCCTGATTGGAAAGACACCCCCCAACTTTGAGTAGCAATCCATAGAAGCAATGCATAGTGCAGGAAGCGTAGTATCGCAAGACGGTGCATGAAATCCCTAACGCTGGATCGAGTGCTTTGGAGTAAGGATTCATGCATGCGAGAAGGGAAGCTAACGGAACTCTTTGGTTACCCCTCGCTCCTTTGATCTTTCGCACTGGCTGTTTATGGTAGTTTTAACATACAGGATCTCAATGCCGTCCAGACGCTCTCAACTCTTTGTGCTACGAATCCTTCCGGACTTTTCAGAATCGAACTCAGTTTCCTTTTCTGAATCACCATGTCGGTGCTACTTTGCACGACGGCCAGTCTCTACTGAGACTGTTGGTGACCTAACAAGTAGCAGTAGTTCTTGTATATCGGCTATTGGGGTTGGCCAGTCCCTACTGATTCACACAAGCCGAAGCGGATCTGTTCAATTTTTGTTATGGCTCGCAAATCGTGCACGTTGAGGTTTAGTGTAAAGACGAGGGTTAGCCAGCTCAACGTTCCAAGTGAAACGGCTGTAGGGGGCCTTGAGACTAGCCCGCCACTGTCCAGAATTGCGAATTCAAAAGATGGCTAAAACCTGACTCCGAATTAAGCGGCCTCTCATACCCGTGAATCGAGAGAGGCCATAGGGTCCTACGCCTGAGGAGAGGAGAGATACCGTATTTGCGCTCAAAGCTCGGTCAGGTTAGCGTGCCTTTCGTAGTTACACTTAGCTCCATTGCAAACGCTACTGGTGGCGGGGACCGTAACAGTGACCTATGCATGGAATTACGATTGACTCATAGCGGGAGCTTGAGCACAGCGTTGCGTGACATAAGTGCGCGTAGGAGGAATCCCCTGCAAGAAACTTCGCCAAGACCAAACTAAGAGGGCCTGGTAAGGGCGCCTGCCCCCTGGATGCAGTAGGGAAAAGGCGTCCCAAGCAAAAAGTGTGCGTACCGGTAGTGCTCAGACTCTAGGCGAAAATAGGCAAGCAGTAGCACCTGGATTCTGCAGTTCAATAATTATGTGTGGAGATATGTACGTCAAAATCTTGGTCTCGGTTTCCTCGGAAGGCCAGCCAGGTTGTGCAAAGAGAGAGGCGGACTTGAATTCGCGCGATTCCACCCATTAACCGCATTTAAAGCGAATCATGTACAGATAAATAGGTCTAGCAACTGTGCCTGTGGCTTAAGCAGCGTGCTGCATGTACGGTCTACAAAACCCGCCCCTGCGGGTGTCCAAAGGGCCCCCTCGGCTAGGGGCCCCCTCAGGTGGCTTCGTGGACTCCGTTAGATACGGAAATTGCTATACTTCCGGATACCTGCTCTTTTGACGTTTCTTTCATTAAGTTTTTTACAGGAGTAAGCAAGAGCGATCCCCTTGCTGCCTGCCCCAGGCTTCGATCATTGGATATCTGTCGCGGTTGCAGTTGCTGCTGCTTCTGCTGGTGCTGGGAGAGCAGAGTGTATGGACATTCGGTGCTCAGTCGGCGTCTTTCCAAGTCTTTGTTCACTTGGGGGAGTGGTAGCGGTGTTTCATCGCTGCATCTTGCAGCATCTTGCTGCACCTTGCGGCGCCAGCACTTGCAAGGAGGAGGTGTACATACACCGCGAGGAGCAGGCGCCTGCGCAGGTCGAACGTTGTTTGGCTGCCGCGTGGCAGCATACTTAGCCGCCATTCGAGGGGCTGTACATGGGGTCGTGTCGAAAGCAGAAACGTTTGCCTCTTGTTCCTTGCTCTCTTTGCGCCTGCAGTGCGCCGCCACCCCAGCAAGGTTTCATAGGAGAAGACGGCCCGTCTGGCTGCTACACTGCGACAGCGGCTTCTTTCGCGCGAGCGAGCAGCACGGGGGGTTAACGAGGATTTGATGCTGCATTGCTGGTGCGGGTGCCGAGAATGCATCGTCATGGAAGACACGCGCACTGAGCCTGCCTGCCCCTACCTGCTTCTCAAGGATATCCCAGCAGCACTGACTACGTCCTCCTCGAAGTCTCACAGCTGCAGGCGCGACTTCCTTGGTTTTCTTCTTGGCGGGAGGAGGAGGCGCAGCTCTGAGGATCAGAATTTGTGTTTGACGGCGGATCCGCGATGCTTCGACAGCGGTGCCTCCAGCAGCCAGCGCGGCAGGCAGGGGCGGCACGGCTGTCTGGAGAGCCGCCGCGCATGCAGAGACTTCGCTGCATGCACGCGGCGCTGTAGCGGCAGTCGGAGCCGGAGCGCGGGAAGCCACTGCGGCAGCCTCGCTTCTGCAGACAGCGCTCACTTGCGGATGCCTTCGGATCCTGAGGATGAGAGCCGTGAATCCGACCGCGGGAAGCCTCCCTCCACTGCCTGGATGGCTCTTTTCCTCTTGTCCGTTGCGGGGGCAGGTCCTCATTTCTTTCGACACGCCTTCGCGGCTGCGCAGCTGCTCCTCGAGCAGCGCGAAACGCTGGCGTACAGCCAGCGACTGCATGGCACCTTGCTGGGGTGTCTTGACGCAGGCAGCTTCGCAGCTGCCCCTCTAGCCGCAGCTCTCTTCCGCGCTCCTTCGACTGCGCCTTCTGTCCTCTGCATTGTGGCGGGGGCAGCTTGGCTTTCCCAGCTTTCCCTTGCAGCAGCTCTCTCGCAAGGCAGCCTCCTTGCTGCCGCAGTCGCTACAGCGGCTGCAGGCCTGGGTGGTGGGGTTGTTGTGATCCTTCAGCGCGCCATTGCAGCCTTCGCCTTCCCCCACTGGACAGCGGCAGCCATGGCAGCCGTCGTGTGCGGCGCGACGCTGGCGAAACTCGTCGGACGGCTCATGCCGCTAGCTGCGGAAGGCGTGGCTAGCTACTTGCAGGCGGGCAGCAGCGGAGCCGGCGGCTCAGGAACTGGCGATCCTTCTCCCGCCCCCCTGCAACGAGACTTGGACGCCGCCGCGTTGAAAGTGCTTCTGCTGTTCTCTGCGCTGCTCAGTGCAGTGCCTGTTGGAGCTGCAGCCCTCTTTCTTGCGCCTGTAGCCAGGAGGAGGAGCTCGCCGCAGCGCCCTTTGCCGCGAGCGGCTGCTGCAGAGCTTTCTCGCCGACGTTCTGCAGCCTCGAGAGAAGTCTTTGGAAACGTCTGCCCGAAGAGCGAGCCTCCCCCAGCCGCGGCGCAAAGAGAAGAGGCCTTTAGTCGAGGAGCCACCAAACTCAGCCCTTTCAAGCGTAAGATCGTGCAAGATGCCTTGAGAAACTTGTGGGCAAGCAGCGACGTTCGCAGCAGCTCCTTCGGGGAGGTAGCAGACAGTGCACAGACTTCCTTGCTCTCCGATTCGCACCGGAAGGCATTCCTGCCTGCGTTCTGCCCCCCCCCTCCTGCTTCTTCTGCTGCCTTTCCAGCACGCGCAGCAGCGCCTCCTGTCTCCTCCTTCTCAGCCTCTGTATGTCTGACTGCAGAGGCAGCAGAAGCACCAGGAGCCGTATGGCTTCGCAGTCCTCTGCCGCGCCTACCGCAGACTTCCGAGCCTCGGCAGCAGATGCGAGAAAAAAGTGTCGCCGCAAAGGCAGCCGTAGCTGGCCGTTCTTCCGAACTTGCAAGGCAGTCCTCTCTGCCATGTGTTGGCAGCAGCAGAGGAGAAGGCAGCGGCAGAGGAGAAGGCAGCAGCGCCTCGCAGCGGGAGTCACCGCTTGGAGTGGCCTTCCAGACTGAGACGGAATACATCGTGCACGTGTTTCGGGCAGAAGAGCAAGAAGAGGAGCAAATCCACCAGGCTCTAGCAGCGCAGCAGGCAGCAGAAGCAGCAGCAGGAGCAGGAGCAGCAGCAGCAGCAGCAGCAGAAGCAGCAGCAGGAGAAACAGCAGGAGAAGCAGCAGAAGCAGGAGCAGGAGGCGAGAACAGGCACGCTTATGCAGAGGAACGTGTTGGGGTGGAAGGCAGCGTGGAGAGCCATGCCATTATTCAACGGGAGCTGCATGCAGCAGCACAGGAGGCTCCTGCTCCCTTCACAGGTTCCACTGCAAAGGTCGTGGAGGGGAAGAGTCTTTCTTTTTTGCCGAATTGGGGAGAAGCCGTGAAACCGCTGCGGCAAAGAAGTGTTGGCAGTTGCAGTGGTCTCAGCAGTAGGAGCAGCAGCAGTAGTAGCAGCAAGAGCGTTGACAGCAGCCTTGGTAGGAGCGGCAGCAGCAGATTCAGCAGCAGCGGCTTCCCCATGCAGCCTACTGTAATCGTCCCAAGCTCCAGCCTGAGCAGCAATAGCAGCAAGAGCAGCAGCATTAGCAGCAGCAAGAGCAGCAGCATCCAGTCAGGCGGTTTGAAGGAAATCCGTAACAGCAGCAGCGCGACAACGCAAGGGAGCAATTCCGCCTTGGTTGGGGAAGCTGCAGACTTGGGGGTTGCATCGAACAGGCAGTCTGTCGTGTCAGCTGTTGGAGAGCCTTCAGCAGAATCCACAGCAGGGGGAGTTGAGCGCATGCGTTCTTCGTTGTCGCTCCCGACGGAAGACAGCCAGGCAATGCAACTGTTGTTTCGCAAGTTTCACGCATCTCGAGGGATAACGCAGGAGACTGCTTCCCTGTCGAAGCCAGCAGAGGAGCAGCAGCAAGAGCAGCAGCAAGAGCAGCAGCAAGAGCAGCAGCAAGAGCAGAGCAAGCGCAGGAATAGCAGGAGATGTGCGTCGCTGGAGGCGGATGCAGCGCGAAAAAAAACTGCTCCTCCTGCTCCCTGCTGCACAGCAGCAGCTGCTGCAGCAGCAGAGGCCCCTCGCCAGAGGCGTCAGAGGCAGCTGCGCAGAAGCAGCAGCAGCAGCAGCAGCTGCAGCGGCTGCTGCAGCGGCTGCTGCAGCTGGTGCTTGCAGGCTGTGCGCGCGGCGTGGACGCGATTGCTGCGTAGCAGCAAAAGCCTCACCAAGGAGTTTTGGAGCCTTGCTGCTGTGCATGCTCTGCTGCTCGCTGCGCTGCACTGCTTTATGGCCTTTGCCTCTTCGATTTTCTTTCTGGTGTATCAGACTTCCACGTTTAGAGCCTTTTTCTTGGGGGCTGTCGTTACATGTGAGTGAGCCGCGACGCTTGCTGCTGCGAGTTCTCGAAGAACCTTCTTGGCGCCTCGCGCAAAGAACTGCTGCTGCTCATATGAGGCCCTTCTTCCGGTTGAGCGTTGGATTTTTTGGCACGCTTTGGCTTGCCCCTTTTTGTCGCACGTTTTGTAGTGTTTCGGGTGTCTTATCTGGAAGCTCTTTATGTCCTTTTCGAAGGGCTGCCTTCATGCTCAAGAGGGATGCAGTGTGTTTGTGTGTTTGTGTGCATGTGTTTGTGTGTGTGTGTTTGCATGTGTGAGTGCGTGTGTGCTGCGCCGGCTTCTATGCATGCTGCAGTAACGGCGATGTTGCTGCTGCCATTCGTGGCGTGTGCAGTCGACAGAATGGGTGGAAGTCTGCCGCTGTTGTTTGGCGCCACTTTGTTGGTGGCTTTGGCACTCACGGGCACGATTTCGCTGCAGCAGCGAGAGCTGCAGCAGCAGACGAGTAGTGAGTGCTTCGAGTCTCAGCAGAATTGGATGCTTGGCGGGTGGAAAGGGGAGTTGTTGGGAAGTTTTCTGGGTGCTTCGGTAAGCGCTGAAGGGTCCGCCTCGCCAGCTGCAGCAGAAGCCTCAGTAGGCTTAGGCTTGGGAACGCTGCGCAATGACAACTCCACCAAATCCGCTTCTCAGGCTGCTGCCGCGGCAGATGCGCAGTCGTGGGGAGTCACAGTAGCGCTCCTGCTAGGGACGGCTGAGGCGATCGTGCCTCCCGTTCTGCTGGCTGGTGTGGCAGAAACGGTTCGGTAAGTGCGCCGAAAAGCCAACATACTACACAAAAAAGCCACCAGAGGCTTCTACCCCAACGCCTTCACACGCTCTGCACCCTATATACATATATATATATATATACATATATACATATATATACATATATATATACATATATACATATATATACATATATATATATGCAGACAGACACCGCACTAAGGCCCCCTTTGTACGCACTATGCCCTTGAGGCTTTCTCTACACTCGCATTCCTGCTGCTGCTCCTGCTGAGCTCTTGCTTCTGCTGCTCCTGCCGAGCTCTTGCTTCTGCTGCTGCTGCTGCGCTTCTCCTCAGCAGCTTCCCCGCCGCTCTTGGTGTGGCTTACGCGATTTTAGAAGCCTCCAAAAGCCTCGCCGTCGGTTCGACAATTCCAGCATTTGGCTTCATCACGACACAAACTGGTGAGGCTCTCGCATCCCCCTGTTGCCCCTCGATCCTCTTACTCCGCATGCACGCGCTCAAGTTGGAGCCTTAACTGCTCAAGGCTAGCGTCAACAGCTTCGCCAGAAAGCAAAGGCTTCTCTGGCTTGGCTTGCGAACACCGAAAAAATGCCAATCAAGAAAGTTTCGCGAGTCGGGGGGCCCCTGCAGCGCTGCAGCGCGTTCGAGGGAGTTTTGGCATGGCAACAACTCGACCAGCCGCTTTTTAAGGGAGGAGAGGCGCAGTCTGCAGTGCGCTGCTGCACTACCGCCACCACCCACCAGCTCCAAAAGATGCAAATTCTTTTGCCCGCTAGCTCGCATGTTGCCGGTACACGTGCTCTGCAGGTTCCTACAGAGCAGGTCTGTGGATGCTCATGGGGATGGTCAGCGTCTCGCAGGTGCTCCTGCTGCTGCTCATGCGCTGGAAGAGGCGCAGCCAAGAGCTGCTGCCGCAAATCCTCTAAGACTTCAGCTGGATTAGCTGCACTGCTCGTTTGCCCGCACGCAATGTTGCGTTGGTGCAGTGATTCGAGGGAGTGGCCATGCGGCAACCGCGTGTACGTACACCACACCGTGGCAGCTGCAGCAGCAGCAGGCGTTCTAGGGTAGAACAAACGGGGAGGTAGCGTCCCTGGATGCAACTGAAACGCTATTCGCGTAAGCGCTGCTCTCTGCGCTCCTGGCGAGCTACAGGCTTCTCTTGATAGGGCTGGCCTAACGGCTAAGAGCAATCCTATAGGGGCTCTTTAAGTAGCCGCTCTCTCTTTCCGTTCCCTCATCCGCGGCTGCGACTAGCCTTCTTCGCGCAGCCACAGAGCCTCAATAATAGTCTGAGACCATGGGCAACACTCGTAGAAGAGAGGCCCTCTTGAAGGCATGCATGGGTAGCGCATGGAGGAGGGGGCTGCTGCGGAGCACCCAGCAGAGCGATCTACGGGGAACGGCAAGAGGGAGGCGGCAAGCGCAGTGTACCTCTGAACCTTTCGCGAGGGCGCAACGCGTGAGGGAAAGTGTGGCAAGCCGCTTTTTTGACACATGCCAAGACGGCTTCTAGTTTAAGCATGCCGCAAGAACACTAGAAGCGAGCAGCAGCAGAGCCGGGCTGCTGCTAGCAACTACGGTGGAGCAGGCCCGTCCGCAGCTGCTAAAATGCAGCACTTTAAGCCAAGACACGGCGCTGCGATGATGGCTAGATAGCTCCAGTGCACCGGCAGAAGTTGGCAGCCTACCGTCCGCCTATGTGGGGAGTGTGCAGACTTCAGCCCCGCAGGGCAGGGGCTGTTACTGCTGCAGACCGGCTTAACGTAAGAAAGAAGAGAGGATCTCATTGAAAAAAGCATCGCATGCAAGGACTGTAGTGCAGTTTTCAGCTCAAGTGTGCGTACAGTGCATCAGGCGAGAACACGTCGGTTGCGTTTTCGAAGCCTCGGGAAAATGCTTTTCGAGGTCGAGTTTTGCGTTGCAGCCCATCAAGGCTTCTCAAGGGGCTGGCGGAAGACGGGAGGGTTGAGGGGGAAAGGGTTCGAGAAAAGCGTCCTAGTGGTTGCTCTTGGCTGTCCGGACTATTGAGGATATAGGGTGTAAAGGGGAGAACGGCAGGGGAAACAATGTACTGAACTAAGAGCTGCTTCTTCTGAAGATGCGAAACTTGTCTGACATTCATTCGCACATATCCACGGGCTGTTCAGGGCCCCGGTGAGACAAGGCGAGTTACAAGTCAACACGCTCTCTGAGCACTCGCTGACGAGTCGTGTTGGGGTGCCTCCTGATGCTGGGGATGGTGCATTACACCCTGAAGAGGAGGGTGGCTCCAGCCATTATCAAGCAGGCCAGAGAGACATAGGGGCTGAGTCGATCTCCAATGACGGCGAGTTTGCCTGCAAAGCCTCTGAAGCCCTGAGCCTTCTTGTTGATGAGCTGGGGAAAAGAGGGGCGGAGAAACGAGCACGTGCAGATGGAGAGCAGCAGTACAACCAGCATGGCATGCAAATTCAAGAGGGCCGTCATCTTGCCAATCTGTATGAGCGCGAGCGGCCGGAACAAGCTGACGGATGGTTTGGACCCTTCGGGTGTCTTCTGTCTTCAGCACGGCCGAGAAGCGAGCAATATGCCCGTCAGTGTTTCTACAGTCGCGCGGCGAAAACGCCTCAACTACGCGTTATTATTCGATTAGGTGATTAGATTCCCATATCTCAACTCCAAAGACTAGCACACGAGGGCTGTGTGCGAGAAAGGCGCTCGGTTGTTCGCGCGCCGGATCCTAGGGCGTGAATGCATGAGTTCAGCCTAAAGTTTTGCAACAGGGGGCGCTCATCGCAGCATCTATGAGTTAATTCTCCCCAATAGTTCGCAGATATGCAGAAGTTGGAGGTACATGCACCTTCGAAACAGCAGCAGCCGCGGAGCTGGCATGCTGGAACACATGCAACGGCAACAAAACAGGGATGTGAATGTACAACTACTCGGCGGCATTAGGGAGCACCCTAGAGGCAGTAGGGCAGAGGGCTCATGAAGATTCTGCCTCTCATGATTAAAAAGGAAGCAAATGTCATTTTATAGTGAGGGGGAACCCTAGACATGCGTTTTTGTTTCGATTGTCTGCGATTTGTTGTACTATGCGTGTCTGGCAGCGAGCCGGTCCCATGTTGACGATCCGACGCGTCGCAACACCTCGCCATGAACTGGCACCTTCCTTTTAATTGTATTTTCTCAATTTTGGCTGGGAGCTCGCCACTCCTTCATCAGGAGCGCTAAGGCCTTAGGGTACGAGGCCTGTGTAGGGAATATTGTTTTTTAGAGGCACTCTTTGGGGCTTTATTTCGCCCCCAGAGGAAGCTCCTGAAAGTCTTGACGTTTTCTTGCATTTGTAGACGGAGGATCAAGAAGAATCAGACTTCAGGAGGCGGCCACTTGCTGGGCACCGTTGCAACTCGCGACTGCGCCCCGTGGCAGCTCCGTTGAGAAGGGGAACCTTGGGAGTTCGCGGTGTACTTGTATCCGAAAAGCGTGAGAGCATACAGTCTCACGACGCTATTTCCGCCTCCCTTCTTGCCTTCCTCCCCCCTGCTCTTTTCTGCACCAGAAACTGCAGCTGTAATGGCTCCTCATGACGGCCTGTTTCCCGTAGACTTGCCCATAGTTGGGCAGACGGATCTGAATCAATACACTCGCAGCAGCAGTGTGAGCGCTTTGAATCATGATTTGAACACGGATGCTCCTGCTGCAGCCGTCTCGGACTTGCCGCTCGAAGCCGCAGCGAGCTTCGATTGTTTTTTTAGGAGTAGCAGCCCTCTCAAGCTAAGGCGCAGTCTGTCCCCGTACGAACTGGAAGAACACAGAGCCCTCGTCGACGAAGAGGGCGGGGAGAAGGGGTGCTCCCGCGAGCGGTGTCTTGAAACGCGCTTCAAGAATGTAGCTCTGTGCCTGTGTGCGCGCCAAGGGTTGCTGGTGCTTCTGCAGTGGAAGTACCTTCTGACCTTCATCCCTGTTGCTCTGCTGCTGGCTTGGGGCTTGCGTCTCGTGTATCTGAAGTCTGCGCTGCAAGCCATCCTGGCAGCGGAAAAAGAGGCGGCTTCCAGAGTTGCATCCTTCGAACAAATCGCTGCCCTCAAGGATCTCTCTTCAGACGCGCTGAGAGGACTTGCAGCCTTGCCAATGGCGCCTAGGACTGTTTCTTGCTGGAATCTGCAGCAGTACACCCTGCCGCTGCGCTTTCAAGAGCAGCAGCAGCAGAGGGCAGCTGCCTTCGACCTGCTGAAGTCAGCTGCTGCAGCCACAGTGCCTTCTCCAGCAGATCTCTACGAGGCTGCACCCTGGAGACAGGACGGTGTTTCACCCTCGCTCTCGATTGCTGACTGGTCTGCCTTCCCAAGGCAGAACCAGCACCAGCAGCAGCAAGAGAACGCACGAGTCAACGACTCGCGGCAAGCCGGAAGGGCGCTGCCCGAAGACAGCGGCGCTCAGACGCGCATGTCTTCAGTGTCTGTCTGCACATATGGCGATCCGCGGTATGGGGTTGTTGTTACAGCTCCTCTGGCGTCGCTTGTAAACTCCGCAGAGAATGGATGTAGCGATAGCTGCTGCGCGCTGCCCTTCTGGAAGGGTCCTAAGCAGACCGCTGTGCCTTCTGCCTCAGCAGCTAGCGACGCGGGAGGAGGCAGCAACAGCAGCAGCAGCAGCAGCAGCACACGCGATTTTTTCCCACCCTCGAATGCAGTCGAGAAGGATGCACATACGCGATTACCGCAGAAGAAGAAGGAAGAAAGGGGAGGAAAGGCTGTCTCCTTCGACGATGACACAGGCGGACTGTGTGGCGAGGATCAGAGTAGCGACACCAGCAGCCCCTCCCTGTACAACGGGTGCAACACTTTAGATGCACATCTCGCTCTCCACAACATGCATGCAGGAGCTCGCGGAAAGGGATTTCGACTAACAGGCATTCCAGCGGTAGATGAAGCTCTTTACACGCATGCAAGACGCCTCAGACGACGCGTGGTGCACTTCGTTAGCGGGCCGGAGCCGTTGACACAGAGGGAGCTTTGGACGTTGGATTCAACTTTTGCTGCTATGCCTGGAGCTCTCGTGCGATGGCACGTCGTCTCAGCGACGTGCGGAGGGGGCGGCAAGCACTCGCCAGCAGCGGCAGCCTCGAGGCGAGCCATGTCGCCTCCAGAAGATGCCCTCCACGAGGAGACTCTCAGCTGTCTCGCCGAAGCTCGAGAAATTCACTTCGCCCAAATGCAGCTTTTCTGGCGCACAGGATTCGACCTGCAGTACGTCCAGCACGTCGATTTAAAGAGCTACTTCGCAGGTGAGCAGTCTGCATGTCTGTATGTATGTCTGTCTGTGTGTCTGTATGTATGTCTGTATGTATGTCTGTCTGTCTGTATGTATGTCTGTATGTATTTATGCTTGTCTGTCTGTCTGTATGTATGTCTGTATGTATTTATGCTTGTCTGTCTGTCTGTCTGTCATTCTGCTTGTCTTTCTGCTTGTCTGTATGCATGTCTGTATGTCTGTCTGTCTTTCTGCTTGTCTTTCTTTCTGTCTGTCTTTCTGCTTGTCTGTCTTTCTGTCTGTCATTCTTCTTGTCTTTCTGCTTGTCTGTCTTTCTGCTTGTCTGTCTGTCTTTCTGCTTGTCTGTCTGTCTTTCTGCTTCTCTGTCTGTCTGTCTTTCTGCTTTTCTGCTTGTCTGTCTTTCTGCTTTTCTGCTTGTCTGTATGTATGTCTTTCTGCTTGCCTGTCTCTCGTTCTGCGTGTCTCTCTGTCTGTCTCTGTCTGCTATTTTTTTTCCTTAAAAAAAATCATGCTGCTGGATGTCTCAAGCGTTCTTTAGACTCCCTCCGCGTGCAGGAGCCTCTGTCATCTGCAGCACGCGGAGCGTCGCCAGATCGCGCGTGTGTCTCTCGCTGTGCGTTTTGCGTGGGAACAGAATTTTTAAAATGCGACACGCATGGTCATGTGTGCTGCGAATTCTGGTGTGTGTCTGCGTGCGTGTTTGTGTGTGTGTTTGTGACGTTTCTCTGCCTCTGTTTCGCCCTGCTGGTGCGTTCCCGCGGTGTGTGGACGCCTAGTTTTTTGCATGCATCTTTTTTAGGATTTTTTGGGTTTGCGGAGGCGCGGCGGCGGCTTTGTGCGCAGATCTTCCACTGGAGCGTCACGCCTCAACGCTGATGCGTCAGCCTCTCGGCCCTGCTGCGCACATGCAGCACGTTTTGCAGCATCTGCTGCGAACTTTGGTGGCGGATGTTTTGCGCGTGGCTCTCGTGTACGTCGAGGGAGGCGTCTACTTGGACACAGATGTCATTTCGCTGCAAGAACTGCGGCATTTGTCGAACCACGTGTCTTGCGAAATGGACGAAGGTCATGCCTCGTACAGCTGCGAGACGTGTCAGGCAGTCTTTGCCTTCCATGCTGGGCATCCTCGCCTTCGAGAATGGATTGCAAATGTTGCTCTTCTACTGGACGGTGAGCTCGCTGGGGAGGAGGGGAGAGCTGATCGCAGCAGCAGCAGCGAAAAGAGCAGCAGCAGCAGCGAAAGCAGCAGCAGCAGCAGCGAAAAGAGCAGCAGCAGCATCGAAAAGAGCAGCAGCAGCAGCGAAAAGAGCAGCAACAGCAGCGAGAAGAGCAGCAGCAGCAGTGTTTTCGAGGTGGTTGGTGGGGGTGTCTTGGGAGCGCTGCAGCGCTTCGCGTGGTTCTGGGTAGGGAGGAGTTACAGCCCGTGGAGTTGGGCAGGTCGAGATGGAAAGACGTTAGAAGATCTTGTGCGAGCCAACGAAGAGGCGGAGAGGCGTTTCCGCGAAAGCAGCAGCAGCAGCAGCGATGGCGACGCGTCTTTTATGCGGATGCTGCTGATGCCTTGGGGAACGATGGGGACGCGTTCTCTTCAGTTTATGCTGGATTTGTGGGCAAGAGCTAATTTGCCCAATCTGGATGCGCGCAGCTCACCTCCTAGTTTGCAGCAGCAGCTGCAGCAGCAGCAGCAGCAGCAGCAGAGCTCGACCTCCAGCAGCAGTGCCTTGCATGTTGCGACGTCTGATCCTTGGTCAGGAGTTGGGGGGTCGTTTTTTGGCGAGATGCCTGCGCTCTCTGCAGCGAGAACGCGACGACAGGAGGATGTGCGTGCGCAGTCTCTAGAGGTTCGAAAACAGCAGCAGGAAGTGCTCCAGCAGACCAAGCGGGAGGAGGAGACAGTCGAGCTTTTTGCGGCGTGGGCGTGCCGATTTGATCGCAGGATGCTGAGCGCCTTGCAGGGATTGTGGCATTGGCTGCATGCGCTGTTTTTTCCACCTGCTATATATTTTGGAGATGAACACCTCGCGCAGCCAGCCAACAACGCGAGATCTCCAGATGGACTGACGCTGTATGGACCGCTGCCTTTTTTTTCCCTGAACCACCGAGTGGAAGGGCGCCACCGCCCAGGTGTGGCAAACGACTTGTTTTGGATTGAGGCGCAAAGGCGTCAAGGCGTTTCCTACTGGCGCGCAGTCGTCTCTGCAGGAAACATCTATGCCGTCCATCTGTACAGCACGCAGATTCACAACGTTCGAGGAGACTTCGCCCACGCGCTCGAGAAGGCGTCCAGTGCTGCAATAGGTCATATTCAACGCAGCTACTGCACGCTGCTTTGCGGGCACCTCCGCCTGCAAGTCTTCGCAGCACCCGACGTAAACAGAACCATTAGCAACGACGTCGTCGAGAGGATCAAAGTGCGTCTGCGAGAGCTGTACTCCATGTAATCCTTAGGGCCGGGAAGGAAGAAAGGAGTGCGAAAGGAAGGAGTGGATACGCTGTATATTCGCACGGACGGTGAATGTGTGGATGGTCCTTTACCCTCTTGGACCGTCGACAGAATCCTTAAAACCTTTTATAAAATCATTTTTGCAGTAGCAACTCTAAGGGGTTTTGCTGCTGCCTTCCAGAGGGTGTGCACCTGCGCGCAAAGCATTTCTGCCGCCAACGCGGAAATGCGTATTTTGCAAGCAGCAGCTCGTTTGTCACCAATCTGTCACGCCAAAGCATTACGGAAAGACACAAGGGCACTGATGCCTGTGTGTGTTGCAAGCAGCAGCTCGTTTGTCACCAATCTGTCACGCCAAAGCATTACGGGGAGACACAAGGGCACTGATGCCCGTGTGTGAACAACCTGTAATTCCAAGTTTTCTGTTTTCTAAGGACTGTGGGAAGAACCGCCAGTTGCAGGCTTGCCTGCACGAAAGAGGCGGGGCTCTTTAAACGCTGCCAGCATCCCTCTAGTGAACTTGTAACGCTGCCTCGAAAGTCTCTCTTCCCCTCTCTTCCTTGCTCTCTCTCTCTTCCTTGCTCTCTCTTCCTCCGTGTGGAGACCTTTGCCTTTAAAAAAGTACAAGTCTTGGGTAGAGGGGTAGGCAGTGTTTCCTCCGAGAGAGAGAGCTGCCTCTCGAAATTTTCTTTGCCTTCTTGCCCCTCAGGGGTGTCATTCATTAGAGGGAAGCGAGCGAGAGCAAGGAGCGAAGCCAAGTCGATCGTTTCCGCATTACTCTTTCCAGGCAAACACCTAAAAGATTCCAGTTCGGCGCTTCGACCTTATCAGCGCGTGTGTTGCATGCATATGCATGTGCATGCCCACGTAGACACACCAGCGCCGCTTGTTTGTATCGTGCTCTGCAGACAACGCTGCACACTCAACGCGGTGTACGCGACGACCAGGCAGACCCTTTTTGTAGACACTCTGCTTGGGCTCTCTCCACAACATAGAGGGGGCAGACAAAAGTGTGCAAGTGGTGCAAGTGGAGGCTACCCCGCGATCTCGCCGACTCCCCCTGCACGCTTTCATGACTTGTCTTGGGAGGACCTGTAGAGAGTCTCGGCTGCAGGCGTGGTATATACACCACAGCCCCTCGCAGATGCATGCACACACACGGCTTTCCCCCACTTCCCCCGCATCCCCCCCCCTCTACGCAGGTACAGAGTGCAGGTACAGGGTTGCAAGACGGTTATCGTCGAGTTCATCCTGACGCTTTCGAGATCCCTTGCGCAGAGCAGCGGCCTTAACAGGCAACTCCTGAGATGCTCGTTTGATAAAAGGTTCTTCGGAAAAAGTGCCACCTTACTAACCCATAAGACCCCCCCTTCGCACGTACACACAAGGCGGGTCGAACTGGCGTTTCCGTGGCACACCTATCCCGAGGGTTTAGGACGCCTTTTCTGCCTAAATAAGTGTATATATGCATGTAGATATCTACACTAAAACATGTGTACATATCTACGGGTTTATCCACTAGAAAGCGGATAAACGACGCTGAAGTCGTCTGACCGCATTCCTTCGACGAACTGCAGCAGCTGCGTGCCATGACTCCTTTTGCAAATCTCCCCTCCCCTGTGCCCATTCATCGAATCTCCGGTATGTCTTCCCAGCAAGCAAGCTGCGCAGGGGAGGCTCCCGCCGTACAGGGGCAAACAGAACGCAGCCTTGCGCCTTGCAGCTCTCGGCAGTTTCGCGTCGTTTCTCAGATCCCGCCTCTGCTCTTCTTAGACTCTCTGCAGCTCAAAGTGACCCCCTTTTCTCCTCTCGATCGAAGGTGACTGTCAGCCTCGTGCAACGCTACGCAACTCAACAAAGGAGCTATCCTTGACGGCCTCTCCTGCATCTAGTGCGTTCTCCATACACCGCTTTTTGCGCAGCACTGGCGCATGCAGGCAGGTTACTCAAAAGAGCGCCAGCACAAAACACGAGAGGCCTTTTGAACGACGTTCAAAGACGAACTCCCCTAGAGGGGGGGGTGCGACAGGAAAAGGGATTTTATGCGAATTCAGCAACAGCAACGGCTGGCGCTTCCCCTTTTTCTCCGCCAAAAAGCGAGTCGTTTCGCACAGCAGCAGCAGCAGCAGCAGCAGCATAAAGTGAGCGTTCCCTAGGCGAGAGAGAATGGGGATAAAGGCGCTGCTGGGGTCGGCGAGACGGTGCCTTCTGCCAATTTATTTGCGCTTCTGTCTGCGTTTGCGTTGAGCCTTGGAGGGCAAGGCTTTCTGCTTGATAAGGCCGTCCTTCACCACGGGCACTTGCCTTCTCCGCATGTCTGCAAGCATGTCGCTAGCCGCATCTTCTGCAAGCATGTCGCTAGTCGCATCTTCTGCAAGCATGCATGTAGCTCCTGCGTCGTCCGCTTGCTCCGCCGCTGCAGCCTCAGCGCTGCTGCTGCTGCTGCGGGGGCAGGCAGCCTCCGTCATGTCGGCTTCACCCACGAAGGCTGCAGCCGCTCTTCGTTTGAAAGCCTCACGAGCTCCTTGCACCTCAGGCCCTTCGGTGCGCCCAGGGAGACAGTTGAAAAGCGACACCAACTCAATCTTCTCCTCCTCCGTGTACTTCTTCCTCTGCCCCCATCCTACCATGCCAGCAAGCGGCAAAGCCTCGGATCGAAAGTCCAATGGACGTGCTCCTGGAGTTTTCTGGGGAAATACTGCGTCTGCAGCATCTGCAGCAGGAGGGCACAAGGAGAGACAGACAGAATCGCACCGTGCAAGACACACGTAGCATGCATACACGCACTTCACCGCAGCACGGGGTGCCCTGCAGGAGTCGGCGAAATAATTACAGCAGCAACTGCAGAAGAAGGAAAAAAGAAGGAGGTGGAGAAGAAGGAGTGGGAGGAGAAGGAGAAGGAGAAGAAGGAGTGGGAGGAGTGGGAGGAGTGGGAGAAGAAGGAGTGGGAGAAGAAGGAGTGGGAGAAGAAGGAGAAGGAAAAAAAGAAGAAGGAGAAGAAGAAGGAGAAGGAGAAGGAGAAGAAGGAGTAGGAAAAGAGAAGAAGGAGAAGAAGGAAAAGAGAAGGAAAAGAAGAAGAAGCGGCATCAAGAGAGAGGTGCAGCTAGCAGAAGAATAAAATTCCATGCATGTGCAGCAGTGCCCAATGCAGGTGCAGCTAGCGGCAGGGAGATGCAGTGGTGACGTCGAGAAAAAATTGAATCGCAGCGGAAGGAGGAGAGACAGAGAGAGAAGCGCTGACAGCGAAAGCTCTAGAAAGAAGAGCGAGGAGAATGGCGGGGGGGGAGGGTAAAGGGGGAAAGAGGATCTCTGGCAAGCTGCCGCTGAGGGAGAGGCGTGAGGTGCGAACGCGAGAACGCACAGCCTGGAGGGGCTTAGAGGAGGGCAATAGAGGCAGCAGAAGTGCAGAATGTCGGCAGCGGAAGAAAGGCGCATAACCAGAAGAGGAGCCAGGCGAAAAAACACGCCTCAAGGCGAAAGGGTCAGAAGCCAGCGCGACTCCTGCTCACCTGGGTAAAGGAATTTGTTCAAAGGTCTCCTACTGAATGCCATAGGATCTTCGCCCCGCTGTATCATCAGCAGCCGCTGTTGCAGAGTCTCCATGCGTGTTGCTTCGACTGTGGCGCTGACATGCTGCCTCTTCACTGCCCTGAAGGCCCTTTTCGTCTTACAGCGCAAACCCTTCGCCATTCTCGCGCTGTTTCTCGCGCTGTTTCTCGCGCTGCTGGGTGTGAAGGAAGGCAGCTGTGAGAATCCTCTGCTGCGTTTGCCGCTGGAAGGTGCCTAAAGACGCGTCAGTGGCTTCCAGTTGCACCGGAGGGGGTAGCCGCCTGGAGAGCCCTATAGAGAGGGCGCTCACGTCGAGCTGGCTAGGCGCGCAGAAACATGTATATATATATACATAAATGCACATAAATATGCAAATATATATATTCTTTGTAACCCGTTAAGAGTCTGCCAGCTGGGAGGACCCCCCGTAGCACACGGGGGAAGCGCATGCGAATTCTTCCCACGGCGATGCTCTGGGGAGGCGGCAGTTTCTCCGTGGCGAGCAGATCGCAGCTGATGCGTAGTTCGCAGCAGCAGTTGGCAAACCGACTTGCGGAGATGCCTCCAGTTTTTGGCTCAATCAAGCACTCCCAGGAGGGGGGGAAGACGCTGCAATGCTCCCGCGATGTTCCTGGGTGCATGCAGGGGACGGGCTGTTTGCAACACTGCGGCGTTGAAGAGGCGAGAAAAGAGGCCGCCTTCTGTTGTTTTACCTTCTGTTGTTCTACGGAAAGACAGTGCATGCAAGTATTCATGGCTTTTTTCAAGGACTGCGCTTCCAGAATCTCGAGTTCAAAACACCAAAACGCGCTTTCTCCTGAAAATCGATGACGGCAGGCAGCGTGTGAGACTACCGCCACTGCCGAAGACTGTGGTGTATGCCACGCGAGATGCCGAGCCTACGGGCGGAAAGGGGGGCTGTATAATTCGCAAGGGAGATGCGAAAAATAATATCTGTATTGCCTCCAGCTAGCGGGATAGAGAGTAGATAGATAAAGAAGGCGAGGGGGCTTGTTGCAGAACAAGTGTAGATTTCCCCCGCCGCCCTCCCCTCCCTCGCTTTTTGCGTCGTTCATGACGTTGCGGGCTTGCAGGCGGGTTGGGGAGGGTATGGGGTAGATGAGAGGTTTTTCACGTGCTTGCACGGAGAAGCAGCAATCATTGTTCGTTCGCTGCACGGACAGGGGAAGCTGAAGCTGCAGTAGCCGTCAGGTTCGTTGGAGGAGCAGCCTATCCGGCAGGCAGGCAGGCAGGCAGGCGGCGTCGTAGCAGATACGCGAGCTGCTAAGCGCTTCCACAGGATTTGCGACTTGAACGGCAAAAAAATTCCACTTGGTCTGCAGACAGACGTTCTCTCCCCTGCATAGGCCCTCCCTAGGGGGGCACCTCATTGGCTTCATGCAGTAGAACCAGCTCCACTGCAGCTTTTAAACGTCTTGTGCCGTTCTGAATAATTGTGCTTCCCTCCATCCCACGTCCCCTCGTGTGGGCTTCCGGCAGGAAGCGAGAAGCTAGGCAAAGAAGTCGCACTGCAGCGCTTTAGTACGCAGTCCTCCAAGTGATCCTTTTTGACCACATCCACGCAGAATGCCAAAAAGGTGTAGCCGCCATGAGAGGCATACAGCGCCCTCCCCCCCCGACGCTTCGCGCATCCAAGCAGCTACCACTGCTCTGCAGCAGGGAACTTGCACAAACAGCTTGATCGAGTGCTCGCCAGTCAACGCTTTATCGAGGCTCAGCGAGGTGCATGTAGTGTAAGGCTACACGCAGCGAGACTCCTGGGAGGTTTGCACTGCTGAACACGGCGCACCAGACACTGCGAGAAGGGTTGCCTTTCAAAGACAGCAAGGGGACAGATGAAAGAGGCATCTCTGAGGGCATGGAGTGACTGAAACCAACACAACCCGTCACTCTCCGCATTTTCAGTGTACCACCACTCCACAAAGGGCATCGTGCAACACTGCTGTACCCAGCAGTTCCTCAGGCACATCTATATCTGAATTGATGGGCAGTGGACTCGCCAAAAACACACTCGAGCAATTTTCACGCTTTAGCAGGCTTATTTGTCAAAAGTGAGAGGGCAGGAGACTGGCATCCCTCTTAAGAGGCGGTGCACAGGCTGTTACTGCGCGCGCATACAGTCTGTTTCCCGAACACAACGAGGGGCCGTATGCTGTTTTGTTCATGCATCCTACACTGCTAGTATGTGCAAACTGCTGCCCGTTGACAGATAGCCAAACTCAGACGGCTCACCGCAATTTCGCAGCGAATTTCTCCTAGCTGCTGCTGTCTGCCTTCTGATTCCAAGACTAAAACTTTCCGAGCCGATGCGCGCAAGGCAATAGAAGGTCGATTTCTATAGGGGAGGCATTAAGATATTTTCCCATGACGTTTCGCAATGCACAATTGGGGCAGGTGCTAAGAAAGGGGCTTCGCATAAAGAAGCGTCCAAGGTGGCTCTGTCTGTCCGTCTGTCTCTGTCTCTCTGTGTCTCTCTTTCTCTCCCCCCGCCTCGGCGGAACTAGCTATCCATAGAGCAGCTTCGCTAGGGGTCTCCTCCCTCACTTTGTTGAGCTTGTAAAGTCTCCGAACTAAGTGCGTGCTTCTGTGTGCTCTCGCGCGTAACAGCAGAATTCGCCTTCTCCCCCCTCCGCTTCCCCTTTACAGCTGTTTTCGCGGCGAGCTCTGCAGAGGCTTTGGATCTCTTTTTTGTTTGCCCTTCTGCCTGCACATCTCGAGTCGCTTTCATCGAGGGGTGTGTGTGTGTGTGTGTCTTGGAGGAAATTGTGCCTCTTCTCGTGCTTTTATCCAATATTACAGCCGACAACAAGAGTTCAATATGCCTGCTCTCTGGCGAGGGAGAGTGCGACCTCTTGCAGCGCACGTGGCTCCGCAAGAGCTGTCAAGAATCTTTCTTCAGTGTGCAGAAAAACGCCTTGCCACGAGGACACATGAGTGGTGCGTAGCGTAGAGGCTAGGCAAGACTGCTCTTTAATGAAAGTGCCGCAGCTACTGCTTCAGACTAGCAGGCTCCCTCAACAAGCTCCCTGCTTTGATCTCGCCTCGACACTTTACGCCAGAAAACATGTCCCCTCTACTCACAAGAAAAAGCCGAAAGGGCACACACGCTTCTCCACGCTTTACCAGTAGGGGCACCATCCAGGATACATCCTGGAAAGATTGCGAACGCTTGTTGCCTCCTCGATCAGCTTCACTGCCTGGGCAGCTTCGTCTAAAGCGATCGGACTGCACAGAAAACAGCGCCAAAAGACGTACAACCAGTCCATAGACACATGGCATACACACATGACATACACACATGACACATACTTGATACACACACACACATATGACACATACTTGACACACATGATACACATGCACTTGACACACACATGCACTTGACACACCCCTGGCACACATACACATATGACACATACTTGACACACATACACATACTTGATACACATACTTGACACACATACACATATGACACATACTTGATACACATACTTGACACACATACACATATGACACATACTTGATACACATACTTGACACACATACACATATGACACATACATGACACACATACACATATGACACATACTTGACACACATACACACATGAAACACATACACATATGACACATACTTGACACACACACACATCCTTGACACACATACACATATGACACATAGTTGACACACACACACATATGACACATCCTTGACACACATACACATATGACACACACATTCACACACATGACACACATACACAGATGACACACACATACACACACATGACACACATACACGCAGATGACACACACATGAGACACATGGTCTAGAGGCGGCTGCGCTGCATATCCAGGGGCCGCTGTGTGTAGCGTGGACTGTACAGACACCCGTTTTTTGGGAAAGAAGGAGAGTGCGCCATGTAGAGACACATCGATGGTACCCGAAATCAAGGCCGTCCAGTTTGTTGCAAATCCTCATGAGAACGTCTTTTCGCGTGCGCAGCCAGGGAGCTGAAGAAGAGGCATCCCCGCTGGAGGCACAGCCAGGGGACCTCCCTTCTCCAGAAGTCATCGACCCTTCGTGTCGTCTTTCACTCTCCGCTGCCTTGAGCACTTTGAGGGGAAGCGAAGGATCCATCGTGCAGGCAGACAGGAGCAGGCAGACTGTGAATCTGTGCTTCCTCAAGATCTTCAAACAAAGTGTCAGACACGCCAAGAAAATGCCTTGGGAAGTACCTGTGTCCAAGGCTCTTACCAACATGCGCGTCTGCCTGCGTGGAGGAGAAGGAGGAGAAAAACACGCATGCAGCAGTCCGTCACAGCTTCTGCACACGTGCTTTATGCGAGAAGAGGCATGCATGCACACACGCGCTCGTCCTGGAAACGCATCGAGCTGTGGCTTTAGAGATGGAGAGAGATAGATAGTGAGATAGATAGTGAGATAGGAAGAGACAGAGTGAGATAGATAGTGAGATAGATAGTGAGATAGAGTGGTACATATAATATATATTTATTTATAGGAAGAAGTAGATAGACACACAGAGAGAGAGGGCCAAGAAAACACAAGCCAACACCACAACGAGAACACGAAAATAACACACATACACGCATGCACCAAGAATGTGTGAGACAAAAAAATGAGATCTAAACAGAGGCTGTCTGGCAGCCGTGCAGATCGATTGTCTTCCGAGACGCATGCTGTAGGAGGCCTTTCGAGACATTCGAAACACACGCCATGCGGAGTAGAAAGCAGAGCGAATTGCAGCGGCTGTGTAGACGAGAAGGAGTACGACACAGACCTGAAGGGGACAGTTTCTGGGAGAGTTTGTCTGCGCGCTGCCGCTTCGAAGACGTCACTGAAGTCTACATGGGCAATGCAGCAGCCGCTGCAGTTGCTCATGCTGCAGCAGCAGCAGAGCAGCAAGTTTCCGGGGTGTCTATCTCCCACGCCACAAATATAGCCGCATGCAGCCATAGCTGCATGGCCAGCGGCTATAGAACGCCGCTCCCTTAGCCAGCTGCTGCTGCTGCTGCTCCTTACCCACAGCAGCTGTCGCAAATCATCCCCAGTGGTGAGCTCTAGGAAGGCAAGAAAGGCTGATTCTAGCTGCGCAGACACCATGAACGACGCACGCAGGCAAACGCCCCTTCACTATGCAGGGTGGCTGCATGCGTTCTTGGAGCAAGTGCAAGAGTTGCGCACATCCCACAGCCTCAGATCTACAAAAATGCGACAGCCTACACAGTCGCAGGATGGCAGTAAACACGAGGAGGGGTCGGCAGGCATGCGTAAAAGCAGCAAACAGAAAACAGCAAACAAACAGCTGCCGCTCAGAATAGCAACAAGAAGACAACGTGTACCACGGCGGGAGATTCTTTGCCGTCAAGTTGAGCACTCCGCTGTTGCTGTTGCTGTTGCTGTTGTTGCTGCTGCTGTTGCTGCTGCTGTTGCTGTTGTTGCTGTTGCTGTTGCTGTTGCTGTTGTTGCTTCGCTGCAGTAAAAAGAGTCAATTCAAGGTTCAGCGGCAGCCGCTGCATTCTCCGGTGCTGCGTCATGAGATCCTTGAGCGTAGGAGCGCTTGGAATCCACTGAATAAGGCCAAGAGAAGGAGACAGCGGAATAACTTCGTACAGAGCGCATGGAATATTCGTGCAGCACTTGCATGCATGGCTACTGCTGCCTCTATTGCTGCTGCGCCTTGGGAGGCTGGACTGCTCGGGAGGCTGCGAAGAGGACTGCTCCTTTTCCGAGGCATTTTTTCGCGTTGCAGCGTCTGTTGCTTCCAGACCAAAGGTGCTCCTGTGCAGCTCTCGCCGCTGCAGAAGCAAGGAGAGGTACTGCATAAGCTGAGCGCAGCAAGCAGCAGTGCAACCCCACCAATACAGAGAAAGAGACATACGGAGACAGCAGGCCGGAGCAGGCGAACCGCGGCAACAGGAGTTTTTCGCTTGCCTTTAGCTTTCGCGTGCGGAAACTAGAGGCAAGCGAAAATGTGAAAGAAGAAAAACAGACTTGAAGGCATGCAACTTCAATGCGTGAGGAAAAAGAATTCCATTTCACACATAAACAGGGGAGATGAGTCCTTATCAGACAGCTAGCCGCACTCTTCGCATCATCAGAGCAGAAGGTTTGGCATCTTGCGAGAAACGAAACTCGCCGCAGCAGTAGTCGCAGACACAGCAGCAGCAGCACACGTAGAAAGGCATACGAGCATGATGCGTTGTTGCTGTCGAAGATCTTCATGCGCCTTCAGAATGAATCTGTAGCAAATACCGTCTTCTCCCTCCATCGCCAGCAGCCGTGGTCGTTCCTTTGTGGGGAGCACTACAGCTAGTGGTAACACGCGGTGAATGCGTATGCCAAGCTTGCCTGTAGAACAACAACGGCAGCAGCAGCCACCCCACACAGCATGCATGCATGCACCGCAGCGAGGCAGCTTTGGCCTCCGTGTCAAAAAACGCAGCCTACGGAAAAAGTCGCAAGAAGGAGCAAGTTCGGCAAGAAAAGCAGCACTCTCTCAAAGCGCCTTGCTTCCGCCGCATGCACATGCGAGGCGAAAAAGCGCAGAACCTCACAACCCTCCTCCTCAGGCTATTCTTTTCCGACACAAACAGAATCGATAGAAGAAGACGAAGGGACAAATACACACGCAGACACACACTGCCTCTTGCTGCTGCATTCCCCCTCCACGCATGCAAAACTCGAGGAAAAAAAGGCTCCCTACCAGGCACCTCCAACTGCCAGCTTCTGTGTGCTACAAGCTGCGGTGCGCTGTCGCAAAGTCGATGCGTGCGACTTTCTGAACGCCTTTGCATCAACAACGAAGAAAACACACGAAAATAACAACCCCAACTCCCTTGCAGTGCATGCGCTGCTTCCACCGTGCCGCCTGAGGAAGCCACACGCACGCCAAACAGCCAAAGAGCTGCTGCTGCTGCTGCTGCTGCTTCTGCTGCTCAATCAACGGACAGCAATGTGTGTAGTAGCGGGGGGAGGGGAGACAAGAGGGATGTGAGCCAGTGTCAAGCGTAACAGCATCTCGGAGTTTTACCAAGAGCAAGAAAAGCCTGCACGCCAAGGTAAGCCCGCTGCAGATCAGCTCCATGCTGCTGAAGAAATAAGGCGTCGCCAAGGCACTAGAGACGCAGACACACGCAGCGCCTTCTTCCGCAGAGCAGATTAAAGCCTCGCAAGGAAGCACGGAAAACTGGTGACACAACGGTGCTACTGCGAGCAGCAGTAGCAGTAGCTGCAGCAGTAGCAGTAGTTGCAGCAGTAGCACTAGCTGCAGTAGCAGCAACAGAAAAATCAGAACGCCAAAAAGGAGGAATCTCTCTCTTTCTCTCTCTCTCACCTTTGGTCCTTCCAGCGTCGCTCGATGCAGAGGCAGGAGCATGCGCACGGCTTCCGCGGGCTGCTTTTGATCGAAGGCTACATGGCTAGCTGCGTCGAGAGCAGAGATCCATCTTTCTCCGAGGTGTACAGACACCTGCAGGAGCTGCTGCTGCAGCCAGGTTGCCTCCTGCAGCAACATAGGCCTCGTGATTGCTGCAGCTGTCGAAGCCGCTGTAGCCGCGCGCACCAACACTGGGCTGTCACTACACTGCGCGCTGGTTATGAGAGGCAACACTGAGGCTTGCGGAAACGTGAGCGCTGCAGACGCATGCATGCATGCATAGCATACGCATGCAGCAATGTCGCAGGTGCAGCTCACAAACACCAGGCCCAAGCAAGGGCGTGCAGTATCGATTTGCACATATATATATGTGGGTATAGATATGCGTATGTGGGTATGTATATCTGTGGGTATATATATATGTGGGTATGTATATGTGTGTGTATATACATATGTGGGTGTATATATATATGTATATGTATGTGTGTATATGTATGTGTGTATATATATGTGTATATATATATATATATGTATATATATGTGTATATATATGCGGGTATATATATGTGGGTATACATATGTGGGTACATATATGTGGGTATATATATATATGTGTGTATATGTATGTGGGTATATATATATGTGGGTATATATATGTGGGTATATATATATATGTGGGTATGTATACATGTGTGTATATATGTGGGTATATATATATGGGTGTACATATGTGTGGGTATGTATGTGCAACAGCACTACACACTTATACACATGCACATGCACGCATACGTTCATATATACATATACATACACGTATATATACATATACATACACATATGTATACATATACATACACATATATATGCATACATATATATATATATATACATCCACATATCTACACATAAAACCAGTACACATATATATATATACATATACATACACATATATATATACATACATACACATAAAATCAGCCTTTTAAGCCCCCAAACGGCTGGATAGCCGAAAGAAAAAGGCCTCAAAGTGAGGCGAGGAACAAACCTTGCTCAACAAGTATCCGCGTGTAGATCCGTTCCTCGCGGGAGTCACATGAAGCCGCTACTCTGGAGAGTAATTGCTGCAGCAGCGCGGGCTGTTGCAACTGTAGCAATCCTGACATCTCGCTGGCGATCAAGTGCTCCGCTGCTGAATCGACTGCTGCAGAATCAACTGCTGCAGAATCGACTGAAGCGGCCTGCAGAAGAAAGATATGCCTCACAAGAAAACGCATGCACCACTCAGCGAACCCCCCTAGCAAAGCAGCGGACAGAGGCAGAAGCAGAAGCAGCAGGAGTAGGGAGCAGCAGGAGTAGGAAGCAGCAGGAGTAGGGAGCAGCAGCAGCAGCAGCGACAGAGGCAGCAGTAGAAGCAGCAGCGACAGAAGCAGAAGCAGCAGGAGCAGCAGCAGGGAGATAGCGCACCAATCCTGCGGCTAGAACGACAGCCATCCCTAATTCCATGCATTCTGCTGATTGTGTAGCTGCAGCTGTTGCTGTGAGACTTGCAGCTCGAAGTAATGCCCGCAAGGCTTCCAGCAGCAACATGTGTTGAGCACAAGGCGATAAATGGATTCCACAACTGGTAGAAATGTTTTTCCTCCTGTCATCTGATTCTTGCTGCTTCTGCCAGCAAAGCAAAGCCTCTGGAAGAAGAGGCCCTTCCACCGCTTGCAGCTGCACTGCACATCCAGCCTCCTGGCTTCCCTCATGGGGTGTATGCTCATCTTGTTGCTCGCCGTGTTGCTGCTTCTTCTGTTGCTGTTGCTCGTCGTTCTGCTGCTTCTTCTGTTGCTGTTGCTCGTCGTTCTGCTGCTTCTTCTGTTGCTGTTGCTCGTCGTTCTGCTGCTTCTTCTGCTGCTGTTGCTCGTCGTTCTGCTGCTTCTTCTGTTGCTGTTGCTCGTCGTTCTGCTGCTTCTTCTGTTGCTGTTGCTGCTCGTCGTTTTGCTGCTTCTTCTGTTGCTGTTGCTCGTCGTTCTGCTGCTTCTTCTGCTGCTGTTGCTCGTCGTTCTGCTGCTTCTTCTGTTGCTGTTGCTCGTCGTTTTGCTGCTTCTTCTGTTGCTGTTGCTCGTCGTTTTGCTGCTTCTTCTGCTGCTGTTGCTCGTCATTTTGCTGCTGCTTCTTCTGTTGCTGTTGCTCGTCGTTCTGCTGCTTCTTCTGTTGCTGTTGCTGCTCGTCGTTTTGCTTGCTTAACTCTCGTAGGGGAACTACAGCGCGCAAAATCGCAAGCCCCCAGGATCGCCAGCAAGCTGCAGCAACTGTCGAGACAGCCGGACAGTCCGCAGCAGCAGCAGCAGCAGCAGCAGGTGCGGCAGCTGCTGCTGCAGCGTAACGCAGGAGAGATGTTGCAGCGGAAGCATCGAGAGTTGGGGAGAGGGAGTCTGCATCCGCGCAGCTGCTGCCGATTGGGAGGCCTCTCAAGGTGTCTGTCCACTTGGCTGCAGCAGCACAAGAGGAAGCGCAGGAGCACTACACACTCAGCAGCAGCAACAAGAGCAACAACACCCCTACTACCGCAATATCAGTACTACCCCTATATCAGTACTACCTCTATATCAGCACTACCACTATCACCACACACACCGACCAGAGAGTACAGTGGCTTCGCGCTTTCTGTGCCTTGCAACTGAGGTGCTACTCGTGTTAGCCAGACTGCAACAAGCTGTAAAAGAAGAAAAGTAGAAAGAAAGGGCTCACACAACGAGCTTACCCAAAGTCATTCGGCAGCAGCAGCGCAGAACCGCAGCGCTTGCAGCCTCCAGCACGTCGCAAGCCACACCTTGACGCATCGCTGTAACGCGAAGTTCAATGTCTGCCTCTCCGGCTGTCTGCGGCGGTGAAAAAACTGGAAGAAACTCCAAGCAATGCGTGGGGATGCACGCGCGCAAAAGCAGCAGCAGCTCGTGCTGCTGCGCAGGTGTCTGCGTTCCCCCCACCAAGCCTTGCAGCAATCGGGGAAGGCTTGACAGCCAGAGCAGCCTTCTACTGCTGCTGCTGCTGCTGCTGCTGCTCGTGCTGCTGCTGCTCGTGCTGCTGCTGCTGCTGCTGCTCGTGCTGCTGCTGCTGCTGCCAAAAAATGTGCTCTCAACGGAGGCTTCTGCGGTGGTTAACACATGCAAAGCCTCCTGATGGAAGCCAAGCCTCCGCAGCTCCCGCGCTGTCAGCAGCAAACTCCACGGGTCGAATTGCTGCTGCTGCTGTTGCTGCTGCAGCTGCTGCTGCTCGTGCTGCTGCTGCAGCAAGGGCAGCAACAACTGCAGCGTCGAGCCTGAATGACTCAGCAATCTGTTGCAGCTGTCTGCTGCCGCAGCACACCGCATCCACGCAGACACCTCGGAAGGAGACATCGCGGGCAGCAAAAAACTTGCAGCCTAAAAAGCCCACATACACAAAAACACACACATAGCTAAACACATGAATAAATACAGGCATCATAGCTAAACGCATAAATAAATAAAGACATACATAGCTGAACACATGAATAAATACAGGCATACATAGCTGAACACATGAATAAATAAAGACATACATAGCTAAACACATGAATAAATACAGGCATACATAGCTAAACGCATAAATAAATAAAGACATACATAGCTAAACACATGAATAAATACAGGCATACATAGCTGAACACATGAATAAATAGACACATACATAGCTAAACGCATAAATAAATAAAGACATACATAGCTAAACACATGAATAAATAGACACATACATAGCTAAACGCATAAATAAATAAAGACATACATAGCTAAACACATGAATAAATACAGGCATACATCGCTAAACGCATAAATAAATAAAGACATACATAGCTAAACACATGAATAAATACAGGCATACATAGCTAGACACATAAATACACACACACACATAGCTAGACACATGAATAAATAGACACATACATAGCTAGACACATGAATAAATAGACACATACATAGATACAAGTAGACGCGCACACATACATACATACACATCCACGCATACATACATACCCACTCACGCATACACATACACACAAACCTACACGCCTGTCTCTGAAGAGCTTTTTTCCACGAAAAAGCTCACAAGTCTCCCCCTAAATGCTGCCACTCCTCTAGCTTAAGTGTGTCTGTGCAAAAGACGCACAGCTGTGATTTTGCGAAGACCTCCTGGAAGAAGAAGCGCTGCATCAGGCATGCCTTTAAGGAAGGCAGCAAAGGCAGTCCTTCGAGCTGGCGTCTGCGCAGCTGCAGCTGCATCGTGCAGTGCCGAGATTTGCAAGCGTTGCAGTGTCTGCAGCAGCGGAGGTGTGCTGCTGCTGTTTTTGCAGCAGGACGCTGCAGCAGATATTGCAGCAGAAGCTGCAGCAGAGTCTAGCCGATGCATGCATTCCACGGCGGCTGTATAAAAGTGCCTTTCATACGAGGACTGCAAAACACACGGTAAACAAACACACAAAAAACGCATGCACCCTCGCCTTTGCTGGAGCCACCGCTGCAGCTGTCCATGCACGTGATACACCCCGTGAAGTGATATACCTACATGCACACACAGAAATATATAGGCATCCAAATATATATATATATATAGACATACACACATACATACACACACATATATATACAAATAGACATACATATACACATAAGATTCATACACATCCACATATATACGTATGCATGTAGGCATACACACACATACATATATATATAGACATACACACACATAGAAATATATAGGCATACACACACACATACATATATATATATATAGAGAGAGAGAGAGAGACAACATACATACACATATAGACACGCGCATACATCTATATATATATATATACACATGCACTCAAAAAATGAGAGACGCGAGAAAGAGACAGGAGAGATGCGCTACCTCCTCCAAGCGGTTAGCCTGCTGCAATAGGGCCCCATAGTCTCTGCATGCGAATGCAGCAGCAGCACTTGCTGCGGCTGCGATCACTGCCGTTCCTTCAGCGTTTTGCGCTTCCTGCTGCTGCTGCTGCTGCTGTGCCTCCTCCTCAGCCGCCCCAAGAGCGTCTTTCCAAAGGCCGAGCCAGAATAAGCTCCTGCAGCAGCAGCAGCAGCAGCAGCAGCAGCAGCAGCAGCAGAGAAGGAGAAAATTGCACGAGAAGCAGCAGCACTGTTTCCCATTCCACTTCCCCTTAAGCTGCGCCGCAGATCGCTAAAGCAGTGACATCATGTCACCTATTCCCCCTTTCCCTCAAAGTATTCCCCCCTTCTCTCAAAGTATTCCCCCTTCTCTCAAAGTATTCCCCCCTTCTCTCAAAGTATTCCCCCCTTCTCTCAAAGTATTCCCCCCTTCTCTCAAAGTATTCCCCCTTCTCTCAAAGTATTCCCCCCTTCTCTCAAAGTATTCCCCCTTCCCTCAAAGTATTCCCCCCTTCTCTCAAAGTATTCCCCCTTCTCTCAAAGTATTCCCCCTTCTCTCAAAGTATTCCCCCTTCTCTCAAAGTACCCTTCCCAGTATGCTGCTGCTGCCTCACTGCAGACGCGAAGCAGTCCACACGCCACGTCGGATAGTAGCAAGCGCAGGATCTCGTTCTTCTTCCTCCGCTGGAGAAATTCCCCCCCCCTTTTCTGTTGCAGACGCAGCGAGCTTCCGAGGAACCTCCCCGTCCTCCTCTGCGTTAGCTGCGTTAGGCATCAACTCGAGAAGCTGCATGCGCTGCAAAGCCTTCCGCAGCCAAGGCGCAGCATGCGCAGCAAGAGCTCCGCATGCCATGTGTCGTTCAGGATGATGCCGATCGTAGGGAGCAGCACATCCCCAGAATTCACCTAAACTTTCGAAGCTGTCTGCAACAGGCTGTGCACTCACAGACACCGCTCCCATCCGATCTTTTTCTGCTGCGACAGCCTCTGCAACGGCATCGGCAGCCGCTGCAGCGGCAGCTTGCGCTGCCAGACTGCGGAGACTTGCGGCTGACTGCCCAGCATCTACCGCAGCGCCTAGAGTGACAGCTGCCACTGCGCGAAGCAGCTTGTTTGCGTGCTGGGGAGGCAGCAGTCTGCATGCCTGCTGAATAAGGCCAGTGGCAGAGGCATGCTGCCCGCCGCGAAGAAACGCGAGCAGCAGCAGCAGAGCCGCGCGAAACGCTGCATGCACCGCCACATATCGACATCACCACGCTTTAACGAGTGCATGGTCATCGGGAGTGTCTCTGTGCTCGCTGCGCAAATCTATCCACCTTATCCTCGCATAGAGAAGAGGTAGAGAGAAAGAGAGATGGGGAAAGAGATAGAGAGAAAGCAACAAAAAGAGAGAAAGAAACAGGAAGCGATAGAAAGAGAGATAGAGAGAAAAGAGATAGAGAAAGAAAGAGAGAATGGAAAAAAGAGAGATAGAAAACATCCGCCTCTAGCAAGGCGCTCCCAGTCCCCTTCTCGTCTTTTTTCCCGCTTCCTCCCTCCCCCCATTTACGACAGATGACAGGCACACCAAACGCCGCATGCATGCAGCTGCAGACAGACAGACAGACGGCGCAGCCTGCGAAAAAGACATACTCGGTTCTTGCAGCCACGACGTCTCATAACACCAAATCGCGAGCGCATTATTCCCGCAACGGGCTGCAGCAAGCCCCAAGAAACACAAGGGCAGCTGCAGAGGCGTTTGATGCACCAGCAGCTGCCTCTGCTGTACGTACATCCCGAGTTGCACTGCGCGTGCGCAGACATCCACCGGCGCCTCTTGCAAGCAGCGTAAAAAGCCCTTGCTGCGACGGGCAAAAAACAGCAAAAAACAACAAAAAACAACAGCGAAAACAATAACAAAAAAGCAACCATCTCAGACTCAAGGCTGTGTGCTGCTGCAGCGCTGGGGTGTATGCGCGAGAGAAGGGCCGTCGCACTGCCGAGTGCAGCCACCCACACCGGCTGTACAGACACCAGGAGCCGCTCTGACAGCTCCTGCTCCCTTTCTCACAGCTCACCGAATCCTCGCCAGCGCTCGCGTATCCTGCTCAGCTTGCAGCGAAAGACATTCCGACCAAAAGGCAACGGCAAGAAGACTTTCAGCCGCAGCAACAGACCGCAAAGCGAGAGGAGCAACGGAGGCAATGCACGGGCAGCTGCTGCTGTGGAGATACAGGTCGTAAAGACGCTGCCACCAAGCTTCCCAGCATCCTACAAGCCCCCTAAAGAAGGCGTATGCACACATATACACACACGTACACATGCACACCTACATATGCATACACACGTACACAAACAAGGCAAGACGAGCCACACTCATGCATCAGAAGACGCCCAGCGAAAACAACAGCCGCTGCAGCTGCTCCCGTAGGAGGCAATGTCTAAAGCAGAAGGGCCCCACCATAATGTGCCCACACGATGCACGGATATATATATATATATATGTATATATACATACATGCATACACATTTATACATATATAATATATATCTATATATGTATATATATAGACATAGAGAGCAGTATTATGGCTTGGAGGAATAGCGACCAAGGCGTACTCTTGAGCAAGCCTCCAGAGTCTGTCCTGCAGCTGTCTAGCGTTTCGTGAGACGGTCGGTGATACAGCGCACAGCTGGCGTTTCAGAGAAAGCCTCCATTCCGCAGCAGCTGCACACGCTGCAGCTACCGCTCCTGCTCCAGAGGGTGCAAAACCAAGACTCGACGAGGCTGTGGTCAAGCTGTCTGCGGCAGAGAAAGCAGATCCAACGCATCAAAGGCTGCCATAAAATGGCTTTCCAAGTGTGGAGAAAGGCGCTCTTTCCGCGTGTGGCATAAACACCAGTGCGCAAGACTTCCAGCTGCAGAAATCTGCCCTCACTGGAAGAAGCCCATGAGAGAAACGAATCTCCAGAGGAACGCGGCACGACACGCATGCCTCGCCCCTGACACGCATCGTTGCGGCGACTGCAGACATCGCCTTGTTGCTGCTGATTCTGTTGTTGCTGCTGATTCTGTTGCTGTTGTTGATGCTGACTCTGCTGCTGCTGTCGCTGACTCTGCTGCTGCTGTCGCTGACTCTGCTGCTGTTGCTGCTGATGCTGATCTCCAGAATCCGTTTGCTGTTTAAGGGCTTCTAGTGTGCCGTGAAGAGCGCTGCAAATGTCGGCGTGTAGTGTCGCTGCGTCTTGCAGCCTTGGCGAGGCTTTTGATTGTTCCCTCTCCTGCTGCTGCTGCTGTCGTGGCTGCTGTTTTTCCTTCCCCTTCTCCGGCTGCTGCTGCTGTCGTGGCTGCTGTTTTTCCTTCCCCTTCTCCTGCTGCTGCTGCTGTCGTGGCTGCTGCTTTTCCTTCCCCCTCCCCTGCTCCTTCTCCTCTTCTTCTCGTTCTTCTTCTTCCTTCTGCTGCTGCTGCCGTTCCTCTTCCTCCTTCGCAGCACCTAAGGCTGCTGCCACAGCGTTCGCTACGTGCTCTTTGATTAGCCCTGCAGAGCACTGTCGAACTACTGGGGTGAGGAGATGCAGCATTTCCAAGCCTCCAGAGCAGCGACAGCTCCTGTCGCGTTGGCTGCCTAGCGGAGTGTAATGCACGAGCATGAGCAGCAAGGAGACCAAGGCACTGCCCTGCAAGCGGCGGTAGAAACAGCGAAGCAGAGACACTGCATGCTCACAGAGGGTGCAGCATCCGGAAAGCAGCTGCTGCTGCATGCTCATGCTCATGCTCATGCTCATGCTCATGCTCATGCTCATGCTCATGCTGCTGCTGCTGCCCTCCTCGCTGCTCTCTTTGTTGCCGCTATCTTTGTTGCTGCTATCTTTGTTGCTGCAAGGAGGCCTTTTTTCAAGCATATCGTGGGCGATTTTGTGGAGCAGAAACAGCCGCGCCAGCCGCGGCAGCAGTGCGCTGCAGGGAGCTCTCTGTGGAAGCAGCTGCTGCAGCATGTCGAGCAGGATGAAAGCCTCTTGCTGCGCGGCAATGGGCAGATGCACGAGCTGGCAGCGGTGATGGTCGTCGTAGTAGGAGTAGTAAGAGGAGGAGGAGAAGTGCTGCATGCCGCTGCTGCTGCTGCTGCTGCTCGAGCTGCTGCTGCTGCTGCTCATGCCTCCAAGCTCCGTGGAGCAGCTGTAAGAAGCGAGCACTGCAGCCGCTGCTGCTGCTCCTGCAGCAGCAGCTGAAGGGGGACGAGCTACTGGTGCGCGAACGGAGCTTTCTCCAGCCAAAGTCGTTGCTTTTCTGACTGCAGCTCCCTCGCTCGCAGCCGTGCGAACCTCCTGACACGCATGCCCAAAGGCGGGTTGCGTCGAGACGCTGCTCTTGCTGCACTGCTTGACACGCGCAGACACTGTCACCGTCTGGAAGGGCACATGCAGCATCGGTAGTGCCAGACTCATTTTCTGAGGAGACAGCTGCGATCCTGCAGCGGCAGTTGGTTGCTGTTGCAGTTGCTTGTGGTGCAGTTGCTGTTGCTTGTGGTGCTGCTGTTGCTGTTGCTTGTGGTGCTGCTGTTGCTGTTGCTTGTGGTGCTGCTGTTGCTGTTGCTTGTGGTGCTGCTGTTGCTGTTGCTTGTGGTGCTTGTGCTGCTGCTGTTGCAGATCTTTGTGGGGTAGGATTTGCCGGTGCTGCTGTTGCTTCTGCACGCTGTGGCAAATGCTGGCTGTTGCAGCATCGAGCAGCAGCAGCAGCACATCGTACAGTCGCTTGACCCCCTCGTGCTGCTGCTGCTGCTGCTGCTCAGACTGGAGCTCCCACAGAAGCATGTCAAGCAGCTGCAAAAGCTGCAGCCGCTGCGCCTGCAAATCGCGTGCTTCCTGCATGCAGTGCTGCTGCAACTGCTGCTGCTCCTGCAGCAAAAGATCCTTCAAAATATCACCGAGGCTGACAAACGAGGCTGACAGCAGAAGCAGACAACAGCGGGGGCTGTATACGAAACAGAGGCTTTTTAGCCATGCCGCAGCAGCAGCCGAGACGCTTCCTAAATCATTGCTGCTGCTGCTGCTGCTGCTGCTGCTGACACTTGTGTTTACCCAACTCTGCGTAGCGATTGCAGCGCAGCTAGCTGGTAGCCACTCAACTGCAGCACCAAAAACACGCGACACGCAGGCAGGGTGATCAACAACTGCTCCGAGTTCACACAAAACACCCGCTAGATGCGCATGCCAGACACAGACACAAACAAAGACAGACAGACAGACAGACACTAACAGAAACACTGACACACAGACAGGTGAAAGAAACACACAGAAACACACACATACAGAAGCATACACACGGACAGAAACACACACATGCACACACAGAAACATACACACAGACAGAAACACACACACTGACAGAAACACTGACACCCAGACAGGTATAAACACACACACACAGACAGACACACTGACACACTGACACACACACACAAACACACAGAAACGCACACACACACATACACAGAGAGGCGATAAAAGCACGAGCACACACAGTAAGAAGGATAACTGGAAGAGATCCCTACTTGCAGCCGCTTCTCGAAGTTGAATGACGAAGCCTGCAAGTGCCGCAAGCTCTTCCTGTTGTCTTCCCTCTGATTCGCAAAGGCCGCATGCAGACGCTCACAAGCAAGCCCCAAGAATGTGCTACTGCAGCGGTCGTTGCGCGTGCTGCATGCAGCTGTTACGTGTGTCGTTCCAGGCAGCCTTGCCGCGCTCTCACCTGTACAGGAGGAGGTGTAGGGGGGAGGAGCAGCAGTGGCGAGGAACTGATGCAGCAGCAGCAGCTGCTGCTGCTGGATTGCAGCAGGAGTTTGGTGCGAACGTCTCAGAGCAGCTTCAGCAGCAGCAGCTGCAGCTGGTATAGCGTCTGCTGCCCAGCAGCAACGCAGAAGTGTCAAAGCTGTCGACGCAGCTGCCCCTTTGAGACATGCATGATGAAGGCTCCCCACAGCGAAGGCAGCAGGTTTGAGCAGACTGAGCAGCAGCATCACGAAAAACGACGCGTCGGACTGCTGTTTTTGCTGCATGAATGAAAGCACTTCAGAGAGCACCGACCACACAACAGCCGTCGACGCGACAGCTTTGAGGCGCTGGCGATGAGTGCCTCTCTCTTTGCTGCTGCATGCACACTTCCTGCCGCTAAGCGCAACTCCCGTGATCATTTCTACAGCAGCCACGCGATCATCAAGGGCTAACTCCGCTGCTGCTGCTGCAGCTGCAGGAGCCTCCCGCATGCTGTACTCAGCTGTGGCTGCTGCAGCAGCAGGCGCTTCAGCAGTGCCCTCCGCTGCAGCGCGCAGCAAAGTTGCAACTTTGCTGCAGACAAATTCAGCTGCCGCTGCTGCTGCCACCTCTCCTCGAGGCGCTCTATCATTCGACGGGAGCAGCAGCCGCAGCAGCAACAGCTGCTGCGCTGCTGCTCCTGAGCACGCAGCTGTCTGCAGCAACGCAACAGAGGCTTCCATGCTGCTGTACAGACACCTCGGAGCTCGAGACAAACCAAAGCACCCCGGCAATCTGCAACACACATCGCAGCGCAACACACGTTCTGCCAGCATGCAGACGCTAATACACGTCTTCCACCGCAGATGGGGAAGCTGCAGCAGACGTCTACATGCGGTCCCATGGAACCGCTTGTGTGCGCCTTCATGCACAGATAGATAGATAGATATACATACATATGAATATATAGGTGTATATATATATATATAGATTTATAGATATGTACATGTATATAGTATTCGCGTACACAGATAAATCCAATATACATATACATGTATTTGCATGCATGTACATACACTACACATGTACACATGCATGTGCACATACATACATGTACATACACTACATATACACATATACAGATAGATACATACAATATACATATACATACAATGCACACATAGATACAATACACATATACAGATAGATACATACAATATACATATATCTGCATACATGTACATACACTACACATGTACATCTACATATAGACATACATATAGATACATACAGCATACATATACATACAACATACATATACATGTAGATACAGATACAATACACGTACACATGTACATGTACATATAGATACATATAAATATAGATTCATATACATACAATATGCGCATAAATATCGATACATATAGAATATAGATGAATATACAATCAATATACATAAATAGATATACAATACATACACTCCAGGAGACAGCGTAGTACGCCTTACCTTGAGAGCGCTGCAACAGCGAGGCGCTGCAGAAGTGGCTCTCCACCAGCAAGAAGATTTACAGCAGCATTACAAATGCTGTCAGCAGCAGCAACAGCTGCTGGTGTATGCATGCGCGTGGCAACGGCTGCTGAGGCGACAAAAACCGTTTCTGCTGCTGTAAGGCGCATATATCCGCATTCGTCTGCAGCAGCAGCAGCAGCAGCAGCAGCACTCCACTGCAGCAGCTCCGGATACAGTGCATCATTGGAAGACGAAGGCATGGAGCATCCCTGCAACAATGCAGCAGCAGCATGATAAGCTGCTCGCCGCATCGGCAAATTGCCAAGCTGCAAAAGCCTCTGTAGAACATCAAGAAAAACAGCAAGAAGCTCTCTGCCAGCTTTGCTGCCTTGCTGCTGCTGCAAATGCTGCTGCTGCTGCAAATGCTGCTGCTGCTGCTGCAAATGCTGCTGCAAATGCTGCTGCTGCTGCTGCAAATGCTGCTGCAAATGCTGCTGCTCTCCTTGCCCGCCCAGCCACAGACGTCCCACAGCACCCAGTGTATGTACAATGACTAGCGCAGCCACCGATCTTTCCCCCAAGAGAAAGAGACACTGCAGCAGCTGCTGAAGCAGCAACTCTTGAACGCGTCGCTGAGCTGCTGCTGCCTGCAGCAGCGCCTCAAGCAAAGGCTGCCCGTGCAGCAGCAGCAGGGGATGCTGCTCGAATACGTATTCCAGAGACTCCGCCAAGAGGCTCTCCAACTGTTGCTGCTCTTGCTGTTGGTGCTGTTGCTCTTGGTCTGGTTGGTGTTGTTGGTGGTGCAGTTCGTGTTGCAGCAGCAACAACACACACTGCAACGCGACAGCCGAAGGGGCGAGACACGGAGTTGCTTTGCCCCCGCTGCTTTTGCATGCACAGTGACTGCAAAGGAACGTTGTCTCCAGTCCACTGCGCCGCCTCTGCTGCTTGTGCTGCTGAATTCTGTGCTGCAACTCCTGCAGTACGACACGCTTGACGTCATCATGCAGCAACCTCGGCAGCTTAGCAGCAGCCACGAGTCGGCACCCCGCAAGCAGCGCAGCATCTTTAGCAGCTAGCAGCTCTTGATCGCGAGTCGTCGGAGACTCCTCGTGGTGTACAGACAGCTGCTGCTGCTGCTGCTGCTGCCTCTGCAGCTTGGAAAGAGGCCCCTCCCGCGCATGCGGAGAAAAAACTGGCAACCCCCCTTCATCCTGCCGCAGCTCTTGCTGCCTCGCGCTCAGCGGCAGTTGCTGCTGCTCATGATCTGCCTGTCTTTCTGGCTGCTGCGTCTCCGCTGACAGCAGCAGCAGCAGCAGTTTCACCCCCTCAGACACCCAGCCACTCCCTTCAAGGGCCTTGTCGTGAGCTTCTGCTGCTGCTGCTGCTGCTGCAAGCAGCCGCATTGCTGCCAGCAAGATGCGAAACGGCAGGCTGCAGGCATGCCCTTTTCGCTCCGTCTGTTGCTGCTCTCTCTCCCGCTTCTTCTGCTGCTGCGCTCTCTCCTCCTCCTGATGCTGCTGCTCTTCTCTCTCCTGATGCCGCAGCTGATCTCCCTCCTGATGCTGCTGCTCTTCTCTCTCCTGCTGCGTCTCATTCAGGCACAGGGTTGCTGCATGCAGCGCCTCGCTAAGCAAGCTGTTCAATGCCATCACTTGTTTCTGCAGACACCAGCGCAATAGCCAGGGCAAAAAGAGGAAGTTCGACGTGTCGAAGGCTTTTAACACTAAGCGATACACCGAATAAAAGCTGAGTAATAAATAAGGCAGCATAGAGAACGTGGGCAGCTTTTCCACGTACAACGCGTTGCCAAAGAAACACCCCCCACACCACGAGCACATAGACATATACATACAGACACATACATACAGACACAGCCATATACATACAGACACAGACATACACATACAGACACAGACATACAGACACATACATACAGACATATACACACACACACACACAGACATATACATACAGACACAGACACATACATACAGACACAGACATACAGACATATACATACAGACACAGACATACACATACTGACACACCCACACACAGACACAGACACATACAGACACACCGTCTTCCCCAGCTCTCTAAACTCTTACGCGAAGTTTCACACAGCCCAGTTGCAGTGCTGCTGCCGCTAGAAGAAGGGACCCTTCTTGCTGCAGCAGCTGCCACTGCGTTCTTGCTTCTCCATCGCCTCGAGGAGGCGGATGCCTCAGCAAGACAAGTGCTGAGAGTGCAGACCATAGATTCTCGTGTTGCTCTTGCTCTGGAGACGTCTGCGGATGCCAGCAGCAAACTGCTGCCGCTGCCGCTGCCTCCTTGGAGAGGAACGACACGTGAGTCGAAAGGATCTTTGCCTGCGAGGCAGCAGCAAGAAAAGACACTGCGAGAAAAGCCTCTTCGAGAAAACTCCGTTTGTCAAAAAAACAAATCGAGCAGAGAGAGCCAAGAAGCTTCCGCCGCTGCAGCAGCCCTCCTCGCCTCGCAAACGGCCTTGTGTCGTTCAGCGCGAGAGAGAAGACTGTTTTCCCCGCTTTTTCCAGAAAGGCTGCAGAGCAGACTTTGGCTTGCTGCTGGCTGCCTGCCACTCACCAGAAAAGCGGAGTACTTCTGCTGCGTGTGATGAGGCCGTCGAAGCTGCTGTATCTCCTGAAGCTTCGCGGGAGGCATGCGCTGTAAAATCCAGAGGCGAAGGGGGCTGTCTAGCGCCTCCGCAGCAGCAGCGAGAATGCTTGCATGGCTGCTGGTCGTCGTTCTACTAGTGTTGCTGCTGCTGCTGCTTCTGCTGTTGCTCCTGCTTCTGCTTCCGCTGTTGCTTCTGCAGTTGGTGCTGAGGCTGCTGCTGCTGCCGTCTGCCTCCACACCTACACCAAAGGACGGCAAACGACAGCAAAAGCAGCGACGGCAAGGAGTGCCATGACACGTCCTGCGAGACAGAGCTTCCTGTGGAGAAGAGCATCTCGCAGGGAGTGCTCCAACCTCCCACACCCATCTAGCGGGTGCCAAAGGCGCAAATAGCTCCTGCAGACTCTGAAGAAAGGCGGCAGAACAGACAAGAGGCGTGGGAGCTGGAGGAGCCTACTCTGAACGGCTGCGATAAGCACATCGGCGATTTGCTCGCGAATGAGTATATCGCCACAGGCTTGTGGCAGAAATCTCCTGCAGCAGTCAATGCCGTGCTTCCTGCTTTCCTCAGGCAGTCCAGCAAGCCCCCTCGTGATGGAGAGTGCGCTGCGGCGGCTGCTGCTGCTGCTCAGATCTGCACCGCAGCAGCAGCTGCTGCTGCTGCTGCGCTGTGGTGAGACGACCCCTCCAGCATGCAAATCAAGAGCGCTCCGCCGTTGCTGCAGCGGCTTCGACTTCGCTGCGCAGTTATTCCAGCAGCAACTACTGATGCACGATGGCAATAGCTGCAAAAGCGGCAGAACCACTGTCGATCCTGCTGTCTGTACAGCCGCAGCAGCAGCAGAAACGAGGAGCTGGATGGCGGCCTGCCTGCAACATCCGAAGCAGCAGCAGCAACATCGCAGAAGTGTGGCATATGATGTCTGTCAGAAAATCGCGAAAAAATAAACCAATTCATAAATTCCCCTGACTACTGCCCTCTCCCCCTTCTCCTCTCCCTCCTTTTCCTGAGTCAAAAAAAATCTTGAACGCGGGCTGGCTAAACTCTGAAGTCTAACAACGAATGCGGGCTCCACTGCATACTTGATAGCGAACGAACGTCGCAGCCGATGAGCACGGAGAAGGATTTCTGCCGCTGCTTCACACACCTCCAGCAGCAAAGCCGCTGCTGCCGGTCCTGGTGGGAGCAGCTGGTGCTGCAGCTGCTGCTGAAGCAGCTCTGCAGCAGTTGCTGCTGCCTCCAGGCAGCAATACGCGTTGTTGCTGCGGAGACGCTGCAGCTGGCCGTGGGGTAGCAGCAGCAGCTCGTCCTCGCATGCACTGTTGCACAGTACGCTTGCTGCGGCTGCAGCTGCGGAGAAAATGTCTCCCTCGTGGCAGTTGCCGCCACATGCGCAACTGGGTGACTGCTTCATGTTCGCGGAGAGCCCTAGGAGGCTTCCTCTGCGGACGGAGCTGAGCGAGCTACTGCTGCTGCTGCTGCTGACCTTCTTGCAGCTGTTGCAGCAGCTGCTGCTGCTGCTGGTGCGGCTGCGGCTGCTGCTGCTCCTGCAGCGGGCGCTGCAGGCCTATGCTAGTGCAGCTCATGAGCAGTATTGAGTTCAGATGCCAGGCGAGGAGAGCACGCCGTTTCAGCTGCTACCGCTGTTTGCGTGGAGTGCGGCCTGTCGGTGTAGGCGCACGCGTAGGCGTAGGTGTATGCGTAGGCGCAGGTGTATGCATAGGTGTGCATGTGTGTATATACATGAGTCCATGCGTGAACCCTAGACCGCATGCCTTCCGGCGATGACAAGCGTTGCAGTATTGCAGCTCGAGGCGATAGCTAGTCCACAAGGAGGCCCCCTATAAGGCTCCCGATTGCAGCGCTTGCGGCGCGACGAGTTGTAGAAAACTTTCTAAAAAACTGGCACTGCGCGTCGCTGAGAGCCTTTGTTCCCTATTTTCGTAACTTACGACACGATGCAGCCGCCTTTTTCTTTAGATTTTAGCAGCCGCAGCAACAAATCTGCACACAGGTGCATGCGCCAGCAGCAGCAGCCACTGCTGCCAACCGCTGCCGCATGGGCGGATGAAGAAGGCAGCAGTCGATCGTTGGAAGGGGGCCGAGCTCCCCCTGGTGCCTGGCTGCCTGCATTTATGAAGCTTTTGGCGGAAAATAGCCCTTCCAAGCATCTCGTTGGCACGCATTTTGAAAAAAATTGTTTTTAAATACGGTTTTTCCCGCTTTCCCTCTATAAAACAAGCGGAACGGGGCGCTCGGCTGAGGGGAGCAGCAGCCACACGGGCAGGGTACGGACGCGTAGGCATGCAGGTGCATGCAGGTGCATGCACGTGCATGCACCTGCATGCATGCGCGAGGAGGCTTCGCCCTGTGGGGGGGCTTGTTGTTGCTGCTGCTGTTCCTCTGGCAGCCGTTGCGGCATTCTGGCAGCCACCTGGGCAGCAGGAGGCAGACGTCTTCACGCTGTGTGGTTCCTATTAATTTCTTGTTTCTGGCCGCTGCTGCTGTTGTTGCTGAAAAACCACCAGTCTCACGAGCACGATGGCGCCGAAGAAATCTGAACCAACCGGAGAGGGAGCTGCTGCTGCGGCAGCAACGGCGGCTGCTGCTCCCGCCCCCTCTCTGGGACCGCAAACTCGAGAAGATGAGTTGGTGTTTGGGGTTGCTCACATCTACGCCAGTTTCAACGACACTTTTATCCACGTTACCGACTTGTCGGGCCGTGAAACGCTCGTGCGCGTGACTGGCGGCATGAAGGTGAAGGCGGATCGCGATGAATCCTCTCCCTACGCGGCTATGATGGCTGCAGCAGACGTTGCTGCGAGGTGCAAGGATCTGGGTATTACTGCCGTCCACGTGCGTGTGAGAGCCACTGGCGGAACGAAGAGCAAAACTCCTGGACCTGGCGCGCAGTCTGCTCTACGGTCAGTCAGTCGGAGCGTTCCTTCCCCCGTCGCTGTGCAGGAGTTGTTCTTGCTGCTCTTCTTTCGGGAGCTCGCTAGGAGCTTGCACGGAGGGAGGCACTACAGGACCAGAAAGAAGACACTGCCCAACACAGAAAACAGAGAGATAGAGATAGACAGAGAGAGAGAGAGAAGGCCCCTACAGCTTGCCGGATAACCCACACGCTCCTCCAATCAGTCGCCACGCAGAAGAAGAACTCCCCTCTCCCTTCCTCCCCTCTCCCTTGGGCTGCCACATGCGTGGGGAGATACGATACATTTCTGCCTGCCGAAGACAGATTCCGCGAAGCTCACCAGTTGTATATGTTTGTGGATCGACATGTGTGTGTTTGTGTATATTCGTGCAAACTGTATGTACTTCCCGTTGATCGCATCGCGTTTTCGGGGCTGGAAGAAGGCTGCTGCGTTGCTCTCAGCTAGACTGTGTGTACATATTTTCATGCAGATATACATGCCCATGTCTGTTTACATGTACTATATGCCAATACACACGTGCTGTGCTGCCAGTGCGCTCATAGGGAGTTGGGGCGGCCTCCTCGTTTTTGGGGTCTACCTATGAAGTGCATGCATGCGAATTTTTTGTAGACGCCTTCTGATGCGCTGTTTGTTGTTGTTGCTGCAGGGCTCTTGCTCGTTCTGGGCTCCGCATTGGTCGCATTGAGGATGTAACTCCCATCCCCACGGATAGCACTCGCAGAAAATCGGGAAGGCGTGGACGCAGGTTGTAGGCTGCACGGCTTGTGCATTGGCAGGGAAAAGCAGCGTCTGTGCAACTGCATGATACGTCAAAGCGTCTTGTTGTGTGGCTGCTCCTGCTCGTAGCCTTTCCTGCCCTTGGAGACGCAAAAGGCTGCGCTGCCTCGGTGCCAGAAGGAACCTGCGTGTCGGTATTGCATTTTCTGAAAGTCTGCAAAAACCTAGAGTTTGGAGAAAAGAATGCCTAGTCACTAGTGCTTGTTGCTATTGCAGGGTTCTAAGGGGGCGACTATCTAGATATTTATATATATATATATGTATATATATACATAGTTCGCGTTTCACGGGTGTTGGAATTGGTGAACCTTCGAGAGGCCGATCCCAGACAGAGTGACACTTCCAGAACCTTCCCGTCCTAGCTTCAGCTCCTTTCAGCCCGTTTCCTATTTCGCAGTCCTACAGCATCTAGACAAAGTAGCTAGCTAGACTCCACAGATATCCCCCTGGTGTTATTTTAGAGCTTGCACGCAAGCATAGGTGGCAAGCTGTTCGTGTGGAAGGAGCTGCTTCCACTTGCCAAGCCGCTTCCTCTCTCCCCCTCTTCCAGGTGGTCGCAGCTGTGGCGCGCATGCGGCCTCCCATGCGCTCCCCCATCGGCTGGCTCGGAGGCAGCAGGCATCGCTACGTGCTTCCAGTGAAGGCAAGGCGTTGCCTAGCCAAGAGACTCTCGATAGTCTCTGGAAGCCTCAACGTCGGCAGCGTCCCCACTGCAGCGCGCAACACATGGTGGCAGGGAAGGGAGTGTACATGAGCTACCCGTGTGTGCTGGCTGGTTTGTTGCTTCCTAGTTGTTGGCTGGTTTGTTGCTTCCTAGTTGTTGGCTAGTTTGTTGCTTCCTAGTTGTTGGCTAACTTGTAGCTTCCTAGTTTTCGGCTAGTTTGTTGCTTCCTAGTTAGCTAGCTAGCTAGCGGGAGGGGACAGAGGGGGCCGTTGGGTTCCTGTACGCCTCACGATGCGACTCGAAGAAACGCCGCATTTGCGACACTGCCGAGGCAGAGACGGTGGGGGGACGGTAGACGGCCAGTAGTAACAGTTCCTCCCCCATGCGAGATAGCCCCTTAATCGCATCCAAAAGCCGAGGAGAGCATGCATGCATGCATGCATGCATGCAGCGTGTGTCTAGACTGCTCGGCTGCTTGTTTTTTTTAGAAGTCGGGAGTCGCACGCCAGTGCCCTCGGCAGACTGCATCCCCACTGCCAAGGAGCAGGAAATCGAGCTGGTCGTTGACTTGAGTGTAATTAGACAGCTAAATGCTACTCGATCTCGCGCTCACCTTCAGAAGCGCAAGGCCCTCCGTATCCTCGCCGTTTCCACGACGACAAATAATAATGGAAGGGGCATACCTGAGCGTTGCACCTTAAGCCAAAAAACTAAAACCTCACTGCAGCACTGGCCAGGCCTCATACAACAAAGCCCTTTCTCCCTCCCTTTCTTTCTCCCTACCGTTCTCCCCTTTTCCCTCCCTTCCTTTCTCCCTACCGTTCTCCCTTTCTCCCTCACTTTCTTTCTCCCTACCGTTCTCCCTCCCTTTCTTTCTCCCTTTCTTTCTCCCCCCTTTCTCCCTTCCTTTCTCGCCCCCTTTCTCCTTTTCTCCCTTCTTTTCTCCTCCTCTTTCTCCCCCCTTTCTCCCTTCTTTTCTCCTCCTCTTTCTCCCCCTTTCTCCCTTCTTTTCTCCCTCTGTGTAGAGGAGAACCCGACAACAACTGCGTCGAAATGCTGGCTCCTTTGCAGTGTTCTAAAGCTCTATCTGCAACAGGCTAAGGCCGGCCCTGCAAGACGGCATGTCGTGCGTGTGTGTGACAGTCAGTCTGTCATCACCTCATAACAGAATACACGCATCCGAGAAACTCGACGCCTTCGCTAATGGCGGTCTGGCGGGAAGAGAAAGCACGCGCAACTGCTCTGCCCACACGCAAACCGCACAGAAGATTCTCCAGAGCTAAGAACGACACCTGCGACGAACAGAAACTCGCCAGAGTGGGTAGCCGGAAGGGCGACTCCTGTGCATGCTGCAGGCAAAGACATAAGCCTTTTTTGAGAGGCTTGCTTCGTGCCGAGGGTAGCTGCTTTGGGGAATAAAAGGCTGCAGCACAGTCCAGAACGTACTGAAATTCCACTGGCTCGCTAAAGGTAGCGGCAACACAGAGACCCTCGGCTGTAAAGACTGCCGCATGCACCCACTCCTTGTGCTGCTGCAACAGCCGCTTTGCTGTCTGAGGAGTCAGCGACACAGGTGGGCCGTATGGCACTTGCTGTTGGAGCGGCTGCCCTCCACTCTGAGAGAAAAGCAAAACACGTTGTTTCTCGCCTTGTTGTGAGGCGCAGGCGCTTCCCCTCAGCCTTTACGCCTCAAAACTAAGCCAAGATGCAGCGAGCTTACGGCTGCTGGCTGGTGGAGAGGCAGCAGGACGGAGCTAAACGAGGCCATATGATCGGTGTTTCTCCCTGAGGCTTTCAGTACGTCGCACTGATGCTACACAAGCCGCTGTGCATACGGGTACGGGAGTCTTAGGCGTCCTCCCCGTGGCTGTCTCGCTGCAGCAGCCGCAGTGCCATCAACTGCTGCTACGATGCGCGTAAAAGGGCAGGCAGCCAATGCGACTGCCTATGTGGCATGCATTCATGCATGCATGCATGCAGCGTGCGTCCAGGCTGCTCTGAGTAGTGATGCCGGGGGGTATTCAAATGCCTTCAGAGGCAAAGAAATGGTTTCTGAAATTCCTTCGACGTTCCTCAAAAGCCGTTTTTCGTATCGCAGCTGCTTGGCCTTCCATGGGAGGATGCTGCAACTGGTGCCACAGCCAAGAAGCTGCTTCTTCTTGCTCTTGTTCTCCTTCGCTGTGTCTGCACTGCGCACGCTGGCCTTTTCCCACTTGCTCTGGGGTTTCTTGCTGGCCACTGGGCAGGTAGCTCTAATGGGGGCCCTCGAGCACCCTTATCTCAGAACAGAGTGGTGCGAAAATTGCTTCTTTTAATGAAAAGCGGCCATCGGAATCATTTAAATGTCAAAACCTTGTGTAGCGGAGTACAGAGGAGACCCGCAGTCCATGCGCAAGTATCGGCTTTCCTGATGTTTGTGAGGAGCGGTTCAATGCCTTCCCATGACGCGAAACGCAGCGAATGTCTCCGTCGCAAAACTTGATATAACGAAATTCGCATTCGGTTGTGACCGCCATTAAAAACGCCTTGTGTTCAACAAGTTGCACGGGGGCGTGTCGCGACGTTTCAGTTCGTGGACGGCCGTCCGCCGATGGAGCGGTGTGTCTGCGACTCCACAGGCAATGGATTTTGTGTGCAAAAAAGTCTAGCAGTCATAAATATCCCTTAAAAGCAAGCAATGCTAAGTTTAAGGCAACAGTGGTGCAAAATGCGCGGAAACACGAACGGCACTCAATGCGGCTCTTTGGAGTTGAACCCTGCATGTCCCGCCTCAGCCGAGTTGATGAGCGCCCCTTTCCACCCGAGGATACCTCTTCAACGAGTCTAAGGGCATTACTGCTATCACACCATAGTTCATGTGGAACCAGCCCCATTAAGACCGGAAAGCGCGAGCTGCAGAGTATTTTGCAGATGTACAGGAGGGGAAATAACCGGAAGGCCCTAAGAGGAGAGCCGGTGGTGTGCTCCTCTTCGACGCTATCCTTCACCTTAAAGGCCAGTACCCGTGTGTGGGTGGCGGAGGAGTTTCTGGAGTCGTCATGCAACCAGCCATCTAACACTGTCAGTCTAACGGCTTGCAGCCCATGACGCGCAAAACTTCTCGGACAATTCCGTAATTCTGGTGCAGACTCTCCGCAGAAAACGCTACCAGCAAGGTCGTTGCATCATACACGCACATAAGGAAAGACACGCGCTGACCCGGGATCGAACCAGGGACCTTTAGATCTTCAGTCTAACGCTCTCCCAACTGAGCTATCAGCGCGGGGCGCTGGCAGAAATTTGCACGGTTCTACCCACGCTGGCGCATACGGACTCTCTCAAAAGTGGGCTTCATTACACTTTACCCACAAACTAACAATTAATAGTGTAGCAGTGATGAAGCGCTAGTACAAGTGCCAGTCGACGTATGCTGGTCCTCCGGCCCTCCTTTTATACTTTAGTCTCTGTTTCCCACTCGGCTTACCGGCGCGACCACCTCGCGAACAGCTAGGCAGTTTATCATGGATAGCACTACACACCTTTTTCAGCACATAAGGAGCAGTCCTGAGCAATAGGGGGTTCTCCTGGCTCAGCATCGGTTGACACGCCCCGGCGTATCTGGCTAACCAAGCCCTCGCTTTAGGTTTTTTTAAAAATCCGTTTTGGTTGAACAATGGAAGGCAGGATATCACTCGCCGTTGGCTTAATATGAAGTAAGTCTTTGATTTTTAGCACGCGGTATGCTGTTTCAAGGGGCGTGCTACAGGAGCCGAAGACGTGCTTGCAGCTGTCCCATATCAGCGCTCCCAGGGGGATCTGTCAAGTGCACCAAGTCTTTCAGAGATATCCCCTTTCAAAATAAATCCACGATGAGCCACCCATTCCAAAAGCACTGCCAATGTTTTGTAGAATAGTATTACCTTGAGCAATTTTTCAGTTCAAGGATTCGCCGCATTTAGAGGACACCGCCGGATCCCGTGTTTTGCTTTCTGCCACACCTATCTGCAAATGGTGGCGCCTCTTGCTCGTAGAGTCTTTTCTCTCGCTTTTATAATTATATTATTTAGAGCTCTGGCAGATGACACCGCTCCTGATTCCGTGGAGGATCTGGTTGCGGGCGTGCCTGGTGGACATCCGTCAGAGCTCGAAGAGGTTCTAATGGACTTACAGCAACCAGAGCAGCCGCGTGGGCCCTCCTCTGGCACCAAAGCAAAGGAAGCAAAGGATAAATCTAATGCTCACGTGTCTTCAGTCAACCATCCGAACAAAAAGCTTACTCAAAACTCCTGGCTCACCAGTCTCCTAGGCAAGAATAAGCAAAAGAAAAGCGAGTGCCAACGTTTGGTGGAAGCAGGAGAAATACCACAATCCATTCATTCACCCCTGAAGGCATATGGATACCCGTCATTTGATACGGAAACCAAGAAACTAACCGTGGCAGCAGGGTTACCCCTTTCGAAGATCAACGACTTCCCCGTGCCCATAAAAGTCGGGTCTTTAGACTACATCATACAGGGCCGCGCTGCGAAGGTATTGCTTTTTCTGTATTGCTATTCACAATACAATATCGTGGGATCTGTGCTGAATCCCGACGGCCACTGGGACAAGACTCCCCAGTCGGTCCACCCGGTGTACCTACAAGTGTCGAATGTGGGCCCTGACCCTCATGGTTCAGTCAAGGCGATTCTGCTACGCAGTGGTGTGCAGCAAATTCTTAAAAGAGTTAGCCCTATGGAAGTCATGTTTTCTACCCTTCAGGGAGCACTTGATGCGTCGCCCACACTCTGGAATGGTGTGCGGCACGTGTATGGAGTAACGATGCGAGAGTGGGGCTGGCTCCAGCAAAGCAGCGAGGTGGCTAGCTTGTTAGGCATCTCTCAGAGTGAAGCGGAGAGCATCGTGGAGGACCTGCAATCCCCAAGCACAGCGCATTCTGGCGCCAAGCGCATTTGGCATCTGTTGAATCAAACGAGGCACCAGAAAAGAGATTCCGGTTGGAGTGACCCCAAGACAGTGTGCTTCGGAAAACCGATTACGGTGACCATCACCATGTATCCTAAGCCATGTCACAATAACAGGGCCACCCTCGCGCTAAGCAGCAGTACCGTGTCGGTCAAGGAGGCTTTTGAAGGATTCGCCGAACTGCTAGTTATGTTGGGGGGCATTGACAAGTTGTACAAAGTGCCCGATAGCTTCGTGACTTCGGCGAAGTAGTGTGATCCCAGCGCCTGTGCTTACATGTTCATTGAAGCAGCTTGCTCTAGGGGTATGGGAAAGTGTTGTCTTGCTAAGCAGCTCCCTGCCCCCCCAGTTGCCGCCGCAGTGTGTTTTGACCTTTTGTGTCAAAAGCCATTCATCTTAGTATTATACAGTCCGTGGTTGCGCGTCTGATGGAGCCCCATCAATGCGCACGTCCTGCATAAGAGGCAAGTGGTGCACTGCCAACTTCATTACTTGGTGGATACATGGGCAACGAAGTGCCCTTCGGCGGCTAATGCCTTAGTGTTTTGTTCTCACATTCTCAGGAACCTTGTGATTGTCTGACCTACGCAGCCCTTGCATGATATTTAGTGCCACCTGCCATGTACGACGGAAGCATGAAAGATTGGGTGATTATCACCACAGTATGCGAAAGGGCAATTTTTCAAATGACATCCGCTTCCCAAAACTTTTTATGATTCTCGCGTGAAACAAGTGCAGCGTACTGCAGGCGAAAGTGCCCTACTGGGACATTCTCCCCTTGCGCGCCAGACGCTAAGGGCCATGTAAAATACAAGTGCAGCACGCTGCAACAGCCCTGTGCATGCGCATTCGATGCGGCCAATGCATAGGCAGGGCCATATAATACTAACTAGCAGAGGCTATCCCAAGAAAGGTTTCTATTATGAGATGCTTGCTTGCGTTGATCCAAACAACAAGCCACAGCAGCGACAATCCTAATGCAAACTGCTCTTCAGCCGTAATCAACTCCCAAAGCCTCTTCATGATTCAATCATGGAACGGCTACTCATCTCTGAAACTACGACCAAAACCTCTTCCACCGAAACTGTGCTACTGGAAAGTTTTCGAGTCGCCCGAACCTTGTTTTCTGGTCTAGGGTACATAGTTAATACCACCGTGAGATCCTTTTTCAGGTCCACGTTGTCTTTTCCTTGCCATTCCTCTGTCTCGTTTGCCCCACTCGTGAGTAGCATCTCCAAAAACAGACCCATCCTCTTCACAAACTTTTCCTCACTAGCCAGCTTTTCCCAGCTCTCCTTGGTGTCCTCCGCAGATTGCTTTAGGTTGAGACTCAGCTCACCCAAGCTCTGACTGGCGCTCCAATTCTTGACAAGCTTAGTTAAGAGATTTTCCGCGTTCTCGTTGCTAATGAGCGTGGGGATGGCACCTGCCAGAGCCATTGCAAGGACGTTCCGGGGGTTGATACGCTTAAGCACTCGCTGCATGGAGTGTCTGACGAGTGCTTTGCTGACAGATCCGTGAGCCTCAGGCCCAACATTTTCGACTTGCACGTACACCGGAAAACGGTCATCTGGCGTGCTGTCCCAGTGTCCATCATCCCCCAGGTATGACCCCACTACTTGATACTTTGAATAACACTTCAAGAATAGTAAGATGTCCGTTAGCTTGCCTTGCATGATATAGTCTCTGCTGCCCAACTTGATGGGCACTAGGGCGCCATTCACAACCGACAGTGGAACTCCGCTTGATGTCGAGTAGGTTTTTGTGTTCACATCGAAGTACACGTAGCCAAAGTGTTTCAAAGGGGAATCCCGCGCTTGCGGGATGCCTCCTTCCTCCAGTATCTTCAAACACACGGCTTCAGCTAGATGCTTCATCTGGTCGAACCACGGCTTCAACCAGGAAGAAGTGTCAGATCTCGTATACCCCCGAAGTTGCGAGCCGAGAGATCCATCATTTGAATCATTCCCCCGTCCACCTTCTTCCATACTCTTCAATCCCTCCATAAGCTCATCGTGCAGATGAGATCCCGATGCATTCTCCTGGCGACGCCCGGAGGACGGAGATCGACCAGGTGTACCTCCAGAAGATGGCGCGGGACTTTGTGGATTAGCTGACTCGGCACTCCACAGTCTGCAAGATACGGCAAAAAGAAAGGGAAAAAGTGTGAATCGCTGCACGGCTACCATTTTGGATACGGCAAGGCCAAATGCTCGATTGGCAAATAATGAATCCCACCTGCGCTTTTCCCGTAGATCAAATCAGATATACGCCAAACCAGCAATTAACAATAATATCACGTCAAAAGGAAAAAGATCATGTCACGCAGTTTGAAACCGGCCGGGGTTGTTGGGATCTACCGGGCGAGCGATGGCGCCCATAGGAGAGGGGATTCAAAGCGCGTCGAAGCACACACTTATGCAAATCGGTTCTAACTCCTAGCACCGCGCATATTAGAAAAAACCAAAAGCTTTTTAGCTCTAATCTATGCTTCTGTAACAATAAATTACAAAGCATCGTAAACACTACTTCGTCCGAACTTCACACTGCATTTTGCAGAACCTCTTCCTGAAGCATCGCCAACTCCCTTGGTTCAAAACGCTTCCGTAACTTGTACAGCGTCGATTTTCGGCAAGAACGCAAGTACTAACCTGGTCTGCACCTGGGTTATTACGTTCTACTTTCCAGACTGGGGTAGCAGAAAGCAGCGCAAGTCTGGCTTTAGACACTTTTTAAATAGGCGGTAGTTGTGACCCTGCTTCAGAAACCGCGTTCTGTCCATGAACATCTTACAAATTTTCGTAAAACTAACAGAGTGTCTACTCACCTTCTCTGAAATGCGCTGCAAAGTTTGTCTGCAAAACTTTATGCGTTCAGCACCTAACCGTGTGCAATTTGAGTAGTGGTGACGGCATTTTCGTATTCTTTAATATTTCGGCACAAAGGGCAGTCCTTGGCACGGTATTTCTTATCGTCTTCCTTTTAGATGGCCTGCTGAATCGCTTACCAGAGAGATACAGCCTGTCTCCGTAGCGCGCCACCCCACATCTAAGTAGTTTCTAGGACACCCCGCAGAGGTTTGATGCAGAGTTACTTGTAAACTATAGAATTGGCTTTCGTCATTCATATATCTTTTTACCTAGAGAGTAGTAGCTGGATGCAGCTACACGCAGTGTGTCCCTGTGCGCTTAATGCTACGCGTACCTGGCCTTGAAGGCTCGACGGGCTAAGAGGATGCTGCTCTACGCACCATAGGTGTTCTTTCCTCTCACGTCGAAAACTTCGAGGGCCGCGAGCAGATCAAGGCGAGGAGTCTTTGAAAAAACTCAGTAACTTTCTATTAAGCGTATATTGCGTTTAAAGTCAAGTATCTTTCTATGGAGGCATGAGAGAGTAGCTGGTACCCCCGCGTGGGTCAAAGCCGCTGTTACCGCTTTTCCACTGACTGTAGATGCAGTACAATATCCGGTTTCTCTAAGAAATCTGTCTGGACTTGACCAAACCTTTGGTGATCTGAGAATTTGCTTTTCGGCACCAGCCTAAGCCAGGAGAGCGGCTGGCAATGTAACTTGATGGCACACCAACTGTCATGGGGGAAGAGACCGGCTTCCAAGCAGACATGAGCGCAGTAGCTCTACAGGCTGGTAAAAAGGCATGATTAAGCAGCCAAAAAATGTTTCTTCGATGAAGCTCTGCTGAGAAGAAAAGCACGACGGCTTTTGAAAGGAGCAAAAACTCGATTATTCCACCAGCCATTTTGGAAATATGCCCTGCTTATTTATAGCTCCTGAAGAGAAAAACGACTGGTCCTTAAGGCTTGTATAATAAATTAGAGGCGCTTCAATAGCGACCCTTTTCCAAAGAGGACATCGTCTGCTTGCAGGGATGACTCCAGCTCTGCTTTTCATGCAAGCACCGACCCATGGGGTCATGTCGCTATCAGCTACTTTGGGAAAACTACGGAAGCCGAAAGTGTTCAGTATATCGAGAAAAAATAAGCTTTGGTTTGCAAAAGGCCACAACCCAGACGAACAGCTGCTATAGCAATGGTTTTTCTCGGGTAGACAGGAATTCTCATGTCAGGCGCTAGCGGACTGACAAGCAACTCTGCAGCTAAGCAGCCATCAAGTGGGGCAGTCACAAAAGGTTGAGTGTTTAAGGTTTCAAGAGCAAGTGAGCGCAGCTCCTGCGTGCTTGACTGAAAAAAGAGAGTCGAGCTGGGACCTCGTGGATTCCGAGGTCGTTTTGTTTTTGTTTGTTGTGCGTGGTTGGCTACTGTGCAAGTTTTTCTTTCCATCGATATCAGTTTAGTGGCTGAGGCACACATATGCTGTTTTCCTTTGCACTGTGTTCCGTGTTTCTCTTCCCTTGAAGAGTGACTTCAGGAAGAAAGGTCCCCTTTCTCTTTCCCGCACACATTCAGTGCAAAAGACAGGAATATAACACAAAGTCGTATAGTGAAGAGGGGAGGGGGGCAGTAAAGGGCAATGTCGCCAGGGAAGCTGCACTGTTAACACCTTCTATTACAGTATTTATACTATGTGATATTTGGTTAATAGTATTAAGTTTATTTTGTCTGTTCCTATTGCTTATGTCTTACAGAGTACTGTCATTCCGCTACAGCAAGGCTGAGTGTTGTGTCCGTGTGCGCCAATGCTATGCACAATCAGCTTTGAAGGTTTGGAGTGCTTAGCACCTACATTTTTTCTACTTGCCTATTTCTCCTCATATCCCAACAATATGACGGTGTGTTGATGGGCAGGAGGGAGCAGCTTTGAAAGCCCCTCAATAGCTTCCTAGTAAGGTATGTATTCCTTTGGGAATACGTAACGCTCCTTAGAGGCCATTGCTCAAGTGGTAGCCAAGGCGAACCTGGAGGTACATGTTTGTGCAGAGTTGCAGCACAGAAGCCTCGGACCACCCTAATAGGATCTCACTCCGATTTCAAGTGGTATTCAACGGCCGCATTCTTGTCCCATTAGGAAACCCAAGTCTGTATGTGAAGTGATATTTTAATCAGAGGGTACGGCGCAGAAATTCAAGTTGGCGGTTCACTGGTTCGCGCAGTCATCCCCAAGTGTCAAGTAGGGCTGAAAATTCTTGACCGTAGATGCGAGCTTGCTCTCAAACGGCCCTGCGGTGTGTGTCCACTCGTGGCCTTCTCTTTTGCAGCCGCCTCCGCTTCATTGAGGCCTGCACGGGTACTTTTCTGTTTTTATGATGTGCCTTTTGTGCTTGCGGTACAACCTGATTCCACTGATCGCAGTCCCCTTGTTTGAGTTCTTTGACATTTTGCATGCGCTTGCAGTTCTGGATAATGTGACCCAGGTTCGCAATGTAATAACAGGTACGTTGTTATGACGCTGTCATTGGGCGCCTAGCTGAGCGTGCTGCTACTTCTGGATTTCCTTCCTGGTAAAGTAGGAATGAAGGCTACGGCCAGTTGACACAGCCTAGTCATTCACTGATTGGAGGTCCTGACTTGGCACTCCCTTTTCGGCCAAACACGCAAAAGCTGCGCCCACTTGCTTCTAAACCTTAAAAACTCAACCTTTCGCCAGTGCCCCATTTGCTGGCTGCTTAACTGCACAGTTGCTGCTCAGACGGCTAGCGCTTGACATGAGAATTCCCCCCGACCCAAGAGAAAACATTGTTAAAGCACTTGTTCGTCTACATTTTCGCGTTTGCGAACCAAAGTTTATAGTTCTCGACATACCGAGCAAGCTAAGATTCTCCTGTTTCGGCTCTCTTAGTTCTCTCGCTCAAAGCTTGCCGGTGAGCTGGTATCGGCATGAACCATTAAATCATGGCTTGAATGAAGATTTGAATCCTAGTTATTCCTGCTAGCAAACTGCCTCCCCTGCATACACAGAGCCACCAATAAAGTTCTTCTACGTTTAATTAAAGAGCCGCAATACGACTTGCACGCGAAGGTAGGCGGAGGACGATATTTGCACCCTTGTATCAAGGCCCTTGTAGGCCGTTTAGATGAGCCCTAAGGGCCTCTCACTACCCTAATTGTGGGCATTTGGGGGGGCTTTCTCCTTTGGCTCATAAGCTAAAACTGTGCAGCCTCTATGCCGAGTATCTTCATCTTCAATTTCAACCCTCCACAATGCCCAAAAGTCCTACTTGATGCATGGACAAACTCCAAGTACTGCTGAACTCGGAAGCGTCCTTTGTGCAGGTATTGCAGCTCCCAGTGGCTGTGTTGTCGTAGGCTGCAGGCGGTGCCTGTACCTCAAAAATGAAGAAACGGCCGTTGACTGCTGCACTTGGACTACATAAATTTATAAAACTTTTCCTCTTCACATGCGTAGCTCCCCTTTCCTTTCGAGCTGCTGTCCATCGGTGTGTTGGTTCTGCTAAATGCTTACCACTCGATTTGTGGGTACCCTCCATGTTGTACAGGCCTCCGCCGGTGCATCCCGCAGTAACTCTGTTTTGAAATATATTGAAGGGTGCTAAAATTTTTCTACTTCTTGTTTCGTGAGTCATGAAGGGGTCGTAAGTTGCTAGGCTTTTGTAGAAGTAGCCTAGTCTGCGTGGCCGCTTGAAGTGCAAGTTCTCGGCCCTTACTCACAAACTGTCAGGTAGAACACTAATGGGCTGAAGCAGGAGATGTCGAGGACGGCTTCGCTCTACGCGCACACACCCTATGTAACGGAGATAATAGTGTGGTAAAAGTTTGTTGGGTAGCTGTGATTAGAAGGCGCTTATGGAGGGTAGAAGATTGAATAGAGGAAAGGGTTCCATGTTTTCGCCGGTTTTTCTCTGTGTTCAAGTGTTTTTTGTCGATCTAATAGCTGTTCCAGCATTGCTTGCATAGGCTTCCTCTACCTGTTTCCTCACGCAGGCCTGCATTGCCATACCGTTTGGCACTATACTGCATCTTTGAGAGACAAGAAGACCCCTGGTGGGCTCGATGCGTGTTAATGTTACCAGCAGGTGGAATGAATGGCTCACTGATAGTCTGGATATCTGCGAAAGGAATACAGATCTACTGAACCCACACGGCACCGATCCCGCATACCTATTGCCCGAGAGCCCCCTGCGGAAATGTCCGAAGTGGTTTTCACCAAAGTTCAAAGCTGTATGCCCCACATGAAAGTCACTGCAGGGCTGCCTACGTATTTTAGCTAACAGATGTTGTCTCCTATAAGCTGGAAAGAGTGGAGCTTGGCAAATGTTTCTGTTGCTGCCCCAGGGGCTGATGTCTTCAGCAACGTAGACGGGGAGATTCCTCAAGAGTTTACCGGGACGTAGAGCCCATAAAAGAGTGAACTTTGACGAGCATCGGTAGCAGAGTTGAGAGTTGCGCAACTGCCGCAACAAGCGACGCAGCAGACAGCCGGCAACGTGCACCTGTATTCACCATGAAGAGTGTCCTAAAAGTCACGCAGTTGGCTGCCACAGCAATTCTTCAATTGAATGCACATAACACCCGGAGCTCTAGAGCCTGAACAAGCTTCGTAGGCCATCAGGCTGATGGAGCTAAACGAAGGAACACATCTTCTCCTGTGCATGTGTTCACGAGGGAAGGTAAATGCAGACAGACCCGTACAAGGGGGGTGCTCTTCATGCCAAGTAGCAGTGGACATCGTATGAAAAGCCGCGCTTCACAAGACCACCCATGCAAGCGCGTATTGGTGATTATTTTCTCGCGTAATGCATCTCGTCATTGGCTCTCTCCAAATGCCCCGGCTTCAACCCATACATCCTAGGCCTCGAGGGGTTTACTCTGAGGAACGTTGCGCCTAGCCATTTTAGACACTACGCAAAGCTCTCCTACGAAACAGATACGCGATGCCATTCAGCGTTGGCTACGCCCCCCTTTCGCTCTCGCCTCTTTCCCTTCCCAGATGCTTGCTTTGAGAACAAAACAAACTCGCTTCCGGGGACTGCCCTATCGGCCCACTCACGCCTACCGTTGCTCGCATACATTTCTTACGCCAGCAGCAAAAACTGCAGCGCCTGGCAGCCGAAACAAAACAGGAAAGTTTCAGTCACAGGATATCAAATCCTGATCGTGCAGATGCAAAATACGAGCTATGTCGCCAACAGGCATCTGTACGTTCACAAAGAACACTGAAATTCGAAGCAAGAATATAAATATCAACGTTGTCTGGAGTGCGAGTAAAAAAGACGATACACACACACACCAACACATGTGATGCAAACACATACACCCATGATGCACACACAAAAGAACCAGTGATCCATGGATGTAGCGCTTTACCATTGAAAGTCACGCTGTGCTTCTTCCTTGAACGTAGCAAGCAAATTGCTTCCGTTGCTTCACAGAAAACAGCCGGAAAGACTCGTCGTCGAGCCATCCTTGAGGCAGGCGCTCGCAAGCACATTCGTGCCCTGTCTTTGTGCCTGCAAGTTTGTATCTGCATAGCCGTCGCTTGCGCTGCCTCTCAGTGCATGCGTCTGGAATTGCTTGGATCGCCTCATCAATCAGTGTGCCTCCGCTCGTTGAATCTTCTCTGCATCCGTCTTCAAGACCCCTATCCCGACAACTCCCGTGGGCCCCCTATGCACCCGCGAGGCAGTCGTCATCATTGCTTGTTTGAAAAGCCGCCCGAAGCTATGGACTGCATCCACTTTCCTGCAGCTCTACGCGGTTAAGCAGGGATGCTTGCATTGCGTTGCAAAGCGCTATTTCGCTGCAGCACGCATCATTAGCGCCAACAACACCTTCATGGTGTCTCGTGGCAGCAGCTCTACCGTCTCTTTTGCCGGTGTGTTCTTCAAGGGCTGCGAGCACTCTGCTACCAGCTAAATTAGATGCCTCTACAGGCTGGCCACTTGGCACCCTTTCGGCGCATGCAGGTGGTTGGTGTTGCACGGGTAGGGGCAGGTAGCCTTCTGCTGTCGTGGCTGCATCGCGTGGAGGCTGCAGCTGTCCACTAGTGCGTCTACTCTGCACGTGCCTCAGCGATACTGCACTAGTCCTACGGGAGCGCATGCAGCGGCAGGGGGGGACCCCAGGCGGATCCAAAGGACCTCTGGGTACCCTCGGAAGCCACAGAAGACGACGCCGTCCCCCCCCTGTGTTGTTTGTGGCTGCTGCCGCTGCTGCAGCTGTGAACACACACAGGACTGGCTGGAGCTTCCGCTACTGGGCACAGCGGCCGATCCTGACTCATCGTGGAGGGAGACTGCCGGGGTAGAGTGAGAGAAGTGCCGTTGCTGCCGGCTGAAGCAGCCTTGCTGATTTCAAGGGCCTCCTTGCTGGACTGTGCTGCTATGACGGTACGGAAGGCGACATCTGCTCCTGCCAACGAGCTCGAAAGGTGGGTAGCGCTGCTACTGCTGCTGGTGCTGCTATTGCTACTGCTGGTGCTGCTACTGCTACTGCTGCCAATCGGGTGCTTGCTAGCACTCTTGCTAGCACTCTTGCTAGCACTCTTGTTCCCAGAGGAGATTGATGAACCCCCCCTCGTCTCATCCTCTTTGTCGCTGTTAGAGCCGTTCCTCGGTGCATGGGGGGCGGCAGCGTTCTGCTCCCCGTGAGAGGCGGCTTGTGTTGTTTCAGCTGCTGCTCCCGTTTGCCCTTCAGTTCTTCCGTCACTCGCGCAATCCCGAGGCACTAAAGGATCCGAAGCTGTCGCCGAAGGCGCAGAAAAAGGCCTCACATGCCCTCGTGTTGACGGCAGCTCCGCCGTCTGAGGCCAGGCTGTAGCTACAGCTGAAGCAGCACTCACCTGCTGCACGTCCTCGTGGTGACTCCCACGCCGTTGCTGCTCATCTCGTGCATCATCTCTCTCTGGCAGCAGTCCTACTGCCACAGCTTCTGCTTCTGTTTGGTTCTCATGCCGCGATCGCAAAAGCCACGCACTGCTGCCCCCCCCACACGCTGGTGGGCTCGCATGCACAAGCGTAGCATCCGCGGAGTTGGACGGAAAGGGGGCTTCCTCGACTTCAACGCCATCCTTCCCCGTAGCGGCAGCCTCTGGTATCGAAGGCGCAGCAGAGGCGTCCGCAAATGCGGCTTCTAGCAATTTGCAGCAGTCCGCGATCTTCGACAGCTCCCCCTGAAAGGTCTGCATTGTACACCCCAAACAGCACACGGCAGCACAACAAGCAGCCACTGCCCCCAACGCTTCTCTTCCACACAGCATCTTTCGCGGAGGCAGATCGAGAAGTAGCAGCAGGAGCAGCACGCAAATGCAAAAGCAAAAGCAGCAGCAGCAGCAAGCAAGTACTCAAGCAGCAGCTGTAGCAGCAAGCAAGTACACAAGCAGAAGCATGCAAATACAAAAGCAGTTGTAGTAGCAGCAGCTGCAGCAAGCAAGTACAAACGCAGCAGCAGCAGGAGCAGCACGCAAATACAAAAGCAGCAGCAGCAGCAGCAAGTACACAAGCAGCAGCTGCAGCAGCAGCAAGCAAATACAAAAGCAGCAGCAGGAGCAGCACACAAATGCGAATGCAGAGCAGCAGCACGCAAGTACAAATGCAAATGCAGCAGCATGAAAATGCAGAAGCATCAGCAGAGAGACGGAGAGGGTGACGACAGGCACTTGATTAGAGCTGCGCATGTCAGAGCCAGGCAAGGCATACACAGACGGCACTGGCATCTTCAGAGAATCCAATGTGCTTTAGGAGGGAGGCGACTTCCGGTCGAACATCGGAGAAGCGCTCTGCAGGCAGCAAAGGGGAGGCATCCGTGCATTTCATCACAGCTGCTGCACGGGGAGCAAGCCGCGCGCGCATGCAGGAAGAGAAGCAGCAGCCTGTATTCGTCCATGGGTAAGGCCTTTATCCGCGGATGCATGCAGTGAGGCAGGTACAACAAGCACACCCTTGCCTAGCACGCTCTTAAGCAGACAGCGCTGAGGCATCTACGGAAGCTGGTCAGAAAAAGCGCAGCAGCGCAACTCGCCACGCACGCACGGAGACGCGCGCGAGAGGCGGCTCCGTAGATAGAGGAGACTTAAGGCCAGTAGAGTGAGGAACGAAGCCTGGAGAAACGCCACGCCTGTCATGAAAAAGAAGCTTTTAGCGCCGTTGTCACAGCAGCTCACAGCCATCGTCAGAAAGAAACACACAGGCACATCACACACTTGTGGCTCCTATGCGGCAGGGGATGCCTGCGCCACTCGGAAGAAGCTGTACAACAACCCCACCCCCCGTCCTCTGCGCACCTTTGAATCGGGGAGCCGTTGTGTTTACGCGTCCATAGCGCAAGCGATCTTCAGCCGTCGAGGCAGATCGCAAATTTCGCAGCATCAGCTGCAGCATCAGCACAGGCACGCAGTGCAGTTGCGTGATCGCAAAGGCACAACACGAGAGGCGTATCCCTTGCTCTCCCTCTTCCAGGAGATGTCTCTCCCGTCAACTATGCAGTGCATACGTGGCAATACGAGGGGCCCTCACAGGGAGGCGGGAGTTTCCTCATGCAATTATAAGAGCAGCAGTATCGGAAACAGCATCAGCGGCTTACCAGCAAAGTGCCGATGGGCTTGCGTGCGGCAAGGCCAAGACGCTCCACGCATGCAGCAACAAAATTCGCAACTGCCTCTCCCAGACTGATCTCTGCTGCTGCTGTATGTGCTGCTGCATGGGCTGCTGCTTCTGCAGCAGCTAAAACAGCTGTAGGCGACAGAGAGGGCAGTGGCGACGGCGTGCTGCCTTCTTCAGCATCAAGCAGTTGCACTGTTGCGCCTTTGTCAGCACATCCTGCTAGCGCCTGTTCGCCTATGACCTTCTCCTCCAAAGGCTGCTGGTGCTGCTGAGCCTCTTCAAGAATGAAGGGCTGCACAAAACAACGCCCGTCCAGCAGCGCTCTGCCTGACTGCTGCTCCTGATCCTCGGCGAGACGGCCTTCTTGCAAATCCTCTTGTGCAGCAGAACCTCCTTCTAAGGCAAGCACGATCCGCGGCTCCTGCTGCTGCTGCTGCTGCAGCAGAGAATGCAGCGCACGTGAAAGCGAACTTAACGCCTCCGTCTGCTGCTGCAACTGGTGCGACAGCTCTCGTTGCTGCAGCAGCAGCTGCTCCTGCTGCTGTGTGGCCCTTGTTTGCTCCGCTTCAGCCGCTGCACGAACAGCAGCGGCTTCTCGGCTGCTGTTTTTCCTATTGCGCCTTCGGCAGCGGAAATGATCCTGCACAGACACCAGCATCGAGCCTTACTGGTTGAACTGGCAAGCAGTCTCCCGAATCGTACAGTCGGAAACACGCTACGTGCGCCAGCAGCAGCAGCAAGGGGTCCCTCACCCATAGGATTACAGCCGCCGTGACTGCAGCAGCAAGGATCGCTGCTGGCAGCAGCAGTCTTGCTGCAGCAAGCAGCAGCCTCCGAATCATTTGGCCGTACGACTGAGGCCTCTCTGCATCAGCATCATCATTATCAGCATCACCATTATTATCATCATCACCATTTGTATCACCATCATTATCATCATTACCATTAGTATCATCATCATTATCGATACCGTCATCACTATTTTCATCATCATTATTATCATCATCATTATTATCATTATCATCACCATCAATATCATCATCAGCACCGTCATCACTATTTTCATCATCAATATCATCATCAATCTTATCATCATCAATCTTATCATTATTAATCTTATCATTATTAATCTTATCATTATCAATCTTATCATCATCGTTCTTATCATCATCAATCTTATCATCATCAATCTTATCATCATCAATCTTGTCATCATCAATCTTATCATCATCAATCTTATCATCATCGTTCTTATCATCATCAATCTTATCATCATCAATCTTATCATCATCAATCTTATCATCATCAATCTTATCACCATCAATCTTATCATCATCAATCTTATCATCATCGTTCTTATCATCATCAATCTTATCATCATCAATCTTATCATCATCAATCTTATCATCATCAATCTTATCATCATCAGCAGCAACAGCATCCTAATCATAATCATCCTCCTCTTCAGCAGCAGCCCCTTTCAGGGACCTGCTGTCTATGCAGCTCTGCAGTCTGGTAGACGCGCCAGGTGCATGCGGATCAGGCGAATGAGCGCTTTTCTCACCTGCCCCGAGAGTTTTCAATGTGCTGCTGCCTTGCGGCTGCTGCGTAGGCGTGATTGCGAGAGACTTGGCATGCGTCAGAGCAGCTGCAGCGGCAGCTGCAGGCAACTGCCAAGGCATCTACAGTACCCCAAGACAGCGCAACGACTAGCAATACGCGACCCATCAAGACTTGGCTGCTATTTACTACCGGGTGTAGCTGCAGCTGCAGGAAGGGCTGCCAATTCTGCAAGCCGCACACTACTTCGCCTTACTTGGCTTGGAGGCTGTGCGTGGGGGACCTCTTGCTGGGGAGCACCTGCGACGCGGGCGAAAGCCTCATCGATCTCCTCTCTGGTGAGGCCCTTTCGTTCCAGAAATTGTCTCTTCACGCGCGTTGCAGCTCCAGAAACTGCAGCAGAGCAGCATGCGCAGCCTTGGAGCACACTTTTTTTGACACCCTTTCCCCCACCATACCCTCCCCAAGCGTGCGCGACCAGCGAGGCAACATGCTCTGCTCCCCACGCACTGGCAGCAGCAGCAGCAGGAAGACACGGTGTGTCTAATAAAGCACACTTGAAGGATGCGAAAGAAAGCGGACTGCATTCGTGAGCTTCAGCTCGCGTTCTGCTGCAGCCGTTGCTGCTGCGGCTTCATCGCCGCGCAGTTGCTGTAGTTGTTGCTGCTGTTGCTGCAGTTGTTGCTGCTGTTGCGGCAGTTGCGGCAGTTGCTGCAGTTGCTGCAGTTGTTGCTGCTGTTGCGGCAGTTGCTGCAGTTGCGGCAGTTGCTGCAGTTGCTGTGTGGGGAAGGCGGGATTTCCAAAGTAAGGCTGCGCAGATCCTGGAGAGGCGGGAGGAAGTGAGAAGTAGGGGCTGACGGGGGGTGGAGCTCCTGGAAATCCCCAGTTGTAGCTATAGGGCACATAGGGGCCCCCAACATAGGGAACGGTTGAGGGGGGGTAGTAGGCGAAGGGGGCCCCTCCCGCGGGAGGCGTTGCAGCATTCGGAGTGATTCCATGAGCATACCCCAGTAACACTGCTGTAGCCTCAGGAGAGGTGGTCGCATCTCCCGTCCCCCCTCTATGGGCTGAGAGAGGGTGGGGGGCCCCCCCCCGCTCCCCCCCTGCTGGAGGGCTTAGGGGGCCCCTCCCCGTGCCTGCAGCGGCAGCTGCCAGTTCCTGAGCTCCTGCTGCAGCCGCTGTGGGAGGCGCAGCAGCGGCGGCAGCGGTCTGTGCGTTCTCGGTGAGCGGCTCGGCAGCAGCGCCTGTAGGCGAGCGCGAGGGGCCCCCCAGAGGGAGGTTCTCTGGGGGTTGCTTTCCGCCCGTGCTGCTAGCGCTGGCTGCCTCCATCGGCGGCATGGCATGGCATGCATGCATGGCACGCATGCATGCCGTGGAAGGAGGAAGGCGGGGGGGGGCCCCGGGGCCCTTGCAGGGGGCCCCGAGACGCACTGGGTAGCCGTGGGCTGTCTGTACAGGGGCCTCCTGGCTGAGAGGGGGAACAGCTGGGGAAGGGGGGCAGGCAGGCAGGCTGGCAGGCAGGCTGGCTGGCAGGCAGGCTGCGAGTGGAGTGTCACCGCAGCAGAGAGGCCCTCCTCTGGGCTGGATAGGGGCCCAAGCGAGTGCAGCAAGCGAGTGGACAGAGGCAGATGAGAATTGTTGCACGGTTTGTTGGGGAAAGTCGCAAGCGGCTAAAAGAGAGGCGAGCTCCCGTTGCGACGCGGCTGCCTGGTGACGATACACCGAGACGACATGCGGCAGGGGAGGGAGGAGGGAGGGTGTGTTGGTTCTTCGAGGGCTGCACACGGAGAGAGGCAAGAGATGCAAACGCACAAAAACAGAGAGCTGCAGCGCGGGAGCGCTGTTTGGAGTGCTATTTTAATGGGAATGGCAGCGCTTTCGGAAAAAAAACTCCGCGATCGGCATGCATGCATGCAGCTGCACGCCTACGGAACCCCTTGATCGCCTGGCAGCAGCAGGCCCAGTCGTAACCAACCACCTCATGAAGCGAGGCGGCTGTGGCAGACCCCTCCCTGTGTGTATGCACACCTCTACTTCTTAGCATTTCATGAGCAGCAGATCTTTATATTTGCATATTTGCGTCCTTCTGAACAGGCTCGCTGCATTTTCCAGACAGCGGCTTTGCCGGAGGGAGACGCAAAGCCGCCTTCCACGTTAGGGGGGCCCTCGGTGGGTCGTGTATGGATGTACCCAGGGGCCCCCCTTGCTGTGGGGCCTCCCTCTGTTGCGGCGACTTGAGGCGCTTTCGCCGATGAAATTAATGAATTCGAGCCTCTAAAACGTCTTTTGGCGCCTCTTTTTTGAAAAAGCGAGGCAGGAAGGCGACCGTCAAGAGAGCAATCCGTGTTCGCATCCCTCGAAGATGTCAAAGGCCTTTGCTGCGCGGCTGCTGAAGTCAGACGGCTGCCGCTCGCGACCTTTCCATTCGCCTTTTGCCGCTAGTCTTCTCAAAAAATTCGGATGGACGGAGTAAGTGCAGCGGGGGGAGCAGAGAAGGTCAGCAACGCAAGCGGGCTACCCCTTTTGGAGCAAGCAGAGTCTGTTAAAGGAAGTTTTCTGTCGCTCTTGCTGTTGCTCTTGCTCCTGCTCTTGTTGTTGCTCTTGCTCTTGTTGTTGCTCTTGCTCTTGCTCTTGTTGTTGCTCTTGCTCCTGCTCTTGTTGTTGCTCTTGCTCCTGCTCTTGCTCTTGCGCTTGCTCTTGCTCTTGCTCTTGCTCTCTCTGAGTTACGTATTCACTTTATTTCTCTTTCTGTGTTTGTTGCGGCTTTTAGAGGCGAAGGACTTGGCAAGACCCTTGAGGGGATGGCAGAGCCGATACAGATTCGCAGGCGAGAAGAATCGTTAGGCGTGGGTCCTTTGTTGTTGTAGCTGTGGCAGATTGCGTTGTAGTCGTGTGCCTCTGGTGGCTCGTTGCCGAGAAGTCGCGTCTGAAAGGCTGCAGGTGCCGCAGCTGCACTGCTTGGGGGCCCCTCTCAGTGCGGCCCCTTCTTTTGCTGCTGTTTGCTGCGTCAACACTGCTCCTCGAAACGCATCGCCTTCCACACGTGTCTCCTTGCTGTGTGTTCTTCTATGCGCGCATATAGCTGGGCTGTGAGAGTAGCAGCACCAAGGGAAACGCCGAGAAAGAATGGGGAGATTGGTGGAAGCAAGCTTTCAACGACGCAGCTAGCAAGATTAAACCAGCGCACAGGCATGAGGTATGAGAGGTTTTTCGTGTATGGCTTGTGTGTGTGAGCGAGGAAGGGAGCATGCGTGCCTGACGAGGCTATTTCTTTGGCGTTTTTGTTTCAAAAAAGTCTCTTTTCTTCTTCCTAGCCTCGGGAACAAGCTCTCAGGCAAAGGCAGGAAGGGAGGGGAGGGGGAAGAGTGCGTGTTGGTCTTTCTAGCGCGATGCCTTAGCGTCTCTTTCGGCTTGGTGCCACTCCTGTCTTGCTGTTGCAGGTTCTCAGTGCCTCTGAATCGTCTTCATCTGATGACGAATATGACAGCCACACCGTCATGTCACGCATGGGGAAGCCACGCTACACTGCACGGGGCCTGCCGCTGCAACGGATGCAGGTTCGTGCTGAGTGTGGCGCTCTCGCTTTCCCCTTTTTACACAGAGAGAGAGAGAGAGAGAAGGAGGACGGGGGGAGAGGAAGAGGGGAGGAGAAGAGGGGGAAAAGTCTGCGTGTTCCCGCCTTTCGCCTGGAATCTGTGGGTGGTGTGTTTTGCGGTGTAATAAAGTGTTTTCGTGTGTTACTCCCTGTGCTGTGCTGCTGTATGGCGCAAATGCCCCTTTCCCAGAGGCGGGAGGCTGAAAGCAGCAAGCAGCCGAAACAGCAGCTAGAAGCGCAGAATGCCGCATGCGATGGAGGCGCTAGCTGTTGCAGCCGCAAGAAGAGAAGGCAGACGCAAGCCGAGGAAGCGTGTGATCAAGAAGTGGAGAGCAGTAGGACGGGCAGCTGCAAGAAGCGGAAGAAGTGCCGCGAAGGGGAGCACCAGGAGAAGCAGCTCCAGGAGGCAGCGGAAGCACGCGTGTCTTCCCAAGAAAAAGACGAAGCGACAGACGAGAACATGCCCTCACTGAAGCGGCAGAAAAAGAAAAAGAGAAGCTGCAGCCGAGAGGAGGACGAGGCTGATGAAGCGGAGACGACCTTCGCAGCACTGACCACCACAACAGACTCGGATGAAGCACGCGATCGCAAAAAGAAGAAGAGAAAACAACAGGTAGAAGTGGAGGCGCAGCACGGAGAACAAGACGAGGAGACAGCCGTCGAAGAGCGCATCAAAGTCAAGCACAAGAAGAAACACTCTAAACGCTACGATGAAGATAGAGGCTAGGGGCCCCTTTTGTAGGGGGCCCTATTGGGTCTGACCCCCTAGTGGGCCTGACGAGGGGCCCCTTTTCAAGGGGCCCTATTGGGCCTGACCCTTTAGTGGGTCTGACAGGATTTTTCTTGTTTCTTATGCCACGATAAAGATAGAGGCGAGGGGCCCCTTTCAGGGGCCCCTAGTGGGTCTGACAGGGTTTTTATTTCTTATGCCACGATAGAGATAGAGGCGAGGGGCTCCTTTTTTAGGGGCCCCTAGTGGGTCTGACGGGGTTTTTCTTGTTTCTTATGCCACGATAAAGATAGAGGCGAGGGGCCCCTTACAGGGGCCCCTAGTGGGCCTGACCTCCTCCTATGCCTGAGAGGCATTTCCATCTAGGGCCTATTCCTAAAAGGGGTGGAGGAGGGTCGGTCGTTAAGCAGCACGTTTCTTACAGGGGGCAGTTAGCACGAGGATTACACCACTACGGGGATTTCTCCGAGGGAGCTTGTCAAGAGAAGTCGAGCGCTGGTTTCTCATGGGTAGGCGCAACTAAAGTGTTGTGGACAGCTCTCTGGAGTCACTTGGTGCGGGTGGGAGCGCCTCTCTGCTCCAAGGTTTAAAGGAACTGATCTTCCCTCAGTCTTCTGCGGTATCCCATCCCCTTACCTTGCACTGCCTAGGAGCGTCGCGGGCTGGCTGTGAGAGCGTGTGTTTCGGGCAGCGAAACACCTTTACTGGAATCGATTTTGGCAGTCAAGCAACTCTCTCGAAATATGAGCTTTGTGTTTGCCGCGCTGCCGTGGAGTCTCTGCGAGGCTGGGGAGGGGGAGGGGGCCCCTGGGAATTTTTGATGGGGCTGCATGCATATGCGAGCCACTGGCTCCGCACGCGCATGCCGGCAGTGCATTACTTTCCGGCGTACTTGAGGCAACTTGAATTGCTTTAAAATCAATATTGTACAGGTGTCTCACTGCAGACAAGGTCCTTCTGCAGTCAGTGCCTCTCCTGCCTGAACCATAGCCTGGAGTCAAGCGTTTCACGGCTTTTTTGAGAGGGCATCCTGCGCGCCTCCACTTCCCCTTGCTATAGACGCTTTGCACGTTGCTTTCTGCTCGCGTGGACGAAGCGAGGGGAGGGAGGGAGGGTCAAAAGAAGCAGTTTCGACGACGGCAGCTGCAAGTACAGGCGCGAGCAGGAAGAACGGCGACGTCCCACGCCTCGCCAGTGTATGCGTCGCTGCTTTCAGATCGGCTGGCGCTTTTCTGCCTCTCTGCATTTATTTATCCAAAGTGCCTTGATCGCAGCTGGATCTGCGCTTCCTATTGGTCCTTCTTCCCCGCTAGAAGCGCTTGGATCGCCCTCTGGGCAGGAGTGCTGCAGTCGCCGATAAGGGCTCCCACCATCCTTCTGTTCCCCCTTTGATCCCAGCCACCTAATACAGTGCAGCGAAGATGCCAGCCACTGCAGGCTGGGTAAAGATGCCTCAGAGCAACAGGGTTGCTGTGTCTGCATCCCTGAGGACGCATGCCATCTGGACAGACAGCGTTGGCTATGATCCTTACGCGCCAGAGAAGGCGGCAGTTCCTGAAGACGATTCTTTGAAGGATAAGGCGAAGGAGCTGCTCACGCTTGCAAGGCTTACTGGCACGCTGTCTACGCATACGCCTGGCGCATGCACGAAATGCAATCAGGGTAGGCCCCCTCCTCCCTGCCGCGTCTGAGTGTCACCCCTACCCTGAAGCCTGCTAAAACGGATGTTCGCAGAGACAGACTCCCTTCTTTCGATGAAAAAAGCTGAAGGGATAGCCTTGTTGATGGGGGCGAATAGCTCTCTGGAAGGGAAAAGTGTCGAAGGCGACAGTTAGCCGAGGAACAGGCGGGTCGAAGACGGTGCGAATGCGGACAGAAGGCGCGCGGGCTCGCTTCTTGGCTAGCCGCCCGAACTCGCAGCTAGCTAGCTAGCTAGAGAGGGAGGGAGGGAGTGCCTTCTGTGTACTGTGCTGGTGTGTCTGTGTGTATGCTTCTCTGTGTCTGTCTGTGTATAGTGGGGCATCTCGCATTCCAATGTAGGAATGACGTGCGACTTGCGGAGTCGAAGGAGCAGACGGAGGCGCTTGCGCATGTACTCAAGAAGAAGGAAGAAGAGGAAGACGATGAAGTGAGCAGTCCGCTTGAACCTGTTTCTCTTCGAGCTGTCGCTGTTGCTGTTGGGCGCGCTTGCTCCGCCCAAGCAGTATCGTTTAGCACTTGCGCAACTGCCGCCGTTCTGCCGTACTCTCTGCTGCAGCGCTTGCGAAGAGCCTTAGGCATTGGCAGTGATGACGAGGCACCCAAAAGGCCGGTGGCTAAGAGAATGCGTTCCCCGAGCACCAGCAGCAACAGCAGCAGCAGCAGCAACGACCATAATAAGAAGAAGCGGAAGAGCAAGAAGCACAAGAAGGACAAAAAGAGCAAGCACAAGAAGTGTGTGAATTCTGAGGCGCTGTGGAGCTGCATTTCACGTGCCGTTTGTGTGTGTTGCGGCTTTTCGTGAGGTCTAGCGTGCCAGTTTGTGCTTCTTCCCACACGAGATTTAGCAGCTGCCTGCTCCACTACACCCGTTTCTGTGTCTGTCTCTTTCTGTTTTTTGACAGGTCGCACAAGAAGAAGAGTCGGCACTGAAAGCGTCTACCTTGTCCTCTGCAGAGATTCTTGTGGAGGTGCCGGGGTGGGTACCTGGCTAGCTGAGTACGCAGCCAGCTAGCTAAATTGGATGCCGCGCGCCTTGCTGGCTTGCCGAGGAGCGGTGGCTTGCTGCTCGGTTAGGGAGGCTTCCTATTCGAGAGAAGTTGGGAATTGCTCGCATAGCTGCCTCCCGGAAAGGCGATACACAGAGGGCAGTCGCACTCAGGCCACGTTCAGTATTCCTCGCCGGGGAATTTGCAATCATTGGCTCTCGAGGGAAGCCCTTCTCCTTCGCAGCCTGTCACATAGCGCTCAGATGCCAGCTTCACTAGATAGCAAGCATGGGAGATTGGAAGGCTGGCTGACTGCGGCGAAAAGGGGGAGTATGCACAAGGAGCCGACATTTTTAGGGGTCCCGGAGTATTCCTCTATGCGCTTAAAGAAACGTCTTTCTAGCACCTATTTCGCTGCCTGCGTGTACGTCGATATAGTTGGACCTCTCGCCTGATACACTGCGCTTCTTGGCGCTTCCTGCCTCTTGCAAACGTGGCACAAGAGCAGCACAGCTGCCGCAAGAGCCATGAGACATGCTAGATATGCAAGGGGCTGCATTTCGCGCCTGAGTGTCTGACATTAGGTGGCCGTTGGGGAACGCAGCCAGGCAGGCAGGAATTAGGGCTGTCTGATGTAACAAGTCCTGAAACACGAAACGGTGATTTTGGCTACTGGGCTGTAGATACTGTCAAGCTGGCGTGGTATCAGAGGGTGCGATATGTGTGCTGCTTGGATTGAACGTCGAATGCCAGGAAGCGGGCCGTGTAGGGCAGCGCCTGCAACCCTTGGAATCGGGTGCAACACGCGATTTCAAATTGCGCGACAAAGGCATGAGGTCTAGACTTGAACTTCTAACACTCTCGTTACGTGCGCTATCCGGCTCCAATAATAGACGTGTATACAGTTTTGACAACAATTGTTTTTTTTTTTCGCGATAAATCTTGAATAAAACCCTCTTGTCAACTTTTTTTTAGTTGGCAAATTCAGAGTAACTGCCTCCCAGAGGGAGATGGGCAGAGGGGCCCCGCGCCGAGTTGAACCCTTTCGTAGAGACACGGCGGCTTGCCTGCTTGGCTGTTGATGAATTAGGAGGGCCACTGGTGCATGTTTCTTGTCTTTGTCATTTGGTTCATGAATTAAACGTGTATACCAGGATGCAACGCTGTTCACCTGGGTATCTCTGACTTCGTCGGTTCCAGCACCGTAGAACCCCCTACAGGGCCCCCCCGGAAGTCCTCTTTCCGTGAGGGTGAGTACACTCGAAAAAAGCGGGAAATCAAAGAGGAAAACACTTGCTCATCTCTTCTGAAGGGCTGTCTTCATCGCCCTCTCGATCTCTCCCTGAGGCCCCTGGGAGGGCCCCTACTGCGTTGCTGTTGAATTTTGAATTGCGGCGCCCTTTTGCCTCCTCCTGGCCTTTGAAGGAAGCGGCAGCGGACTCTCAAGGGGCCCATGGGGCCCCCCAGAGGCCCCCTTTACTGGCTAGTGACTCTTCGTGCGCAGCTGCGGTGGGAACCTGGGGGTGGCCGAGCTGCGCCGGGGGGGGCCCCCTGCAGCACAGGGCCCCCATGGCAAACTGTTTGGGGTTCTCAGGGCCTCCTTTTGCATGCAGAGAAGGCGCCTCTCTCAAGCGTTGGCAGCCGCAGCCACAGAAGCCGCAGCAGCCGGCTGCGCTGTTTTAGCAGCGGCAGCAGCAGCGGCAGCGGCAACAGCCGCCTTGTGGTGTACAGACACCTGACGAGCCGTTGGTTCGTGGCGTATAAGCCACCGGGATGGTCCGTGGGGCCCCATCCGGAGGCCCCCAGTTTAGCGGAGGCTCTGCAAGACGCCTCAGACCGTCATTTCCTGGCAGCTGCTGCCGCTGCTGCCGAAGTGGCTTCCGCTGCAGCACCCTCCGCACCGAGGGCAGCAGCAGCAGCAGCAGTGCTCGAGCACTCTCCCGCCAAGCTGCTTTTTTTCCCCCTTCCGGAGCTGCCTCTGGAAGCTCAAGGACTCACTCTGGTAGCCACGGACGAGTCAACCTTTCGCGCCATCCGTAGGTGCTACACAGCGAGCAGGAGGAGGCGGGGATCTGGAAGTGGATGCTCAACCTTTCAGGGGGCCCCTCACTGAGTTTCACAGAAGCTTCTGCCTCAGCGCGCACTTCAGTCTCTGGCTTCCCACAGTTCCTACTGCTGATGATGATGCGTATAGACATATATATATATATATACATATGTACGCGTGTCTATGTGTACATGTATATATATATATATATATATGTACGCGTGTCTACGTATATATATGTAGATATGTGCATATGTATATGTATATATACATATACACATATATATATACATATGTACGCGTGTCTATGTGTGCATATGTATATGTTTGTACATGTCTGTGTATGATTGCAGGGGGGTTGGTTTCTCGCGGCGAGCTGCAGCAGGAGTTTCGAGTACTGGCAAGCCTTAGAGAAGTGGCACCACCGATGTTTCCCCAGCCCCCCCGAAGCGGCTCTGGAGGGCCTCTTCGAAGCCTCCCCTACTTCAGTCCTCCCCCGAGTGCGTGGCATTGCTCCTGGCGTAATGTTCAGCAGCGAGTGGAGCCTCGCGGCGGGGGAGTCTGGGGGCCCTCTGGTCTGGCGGGGGCCCCTGGGTGGCTGCCGTCGCACGGATGCCTCGCTCTCAGTCTGCCTTTGGGGGCCCCCCTCCCCCTCCTGGACGGGGGAGCGGTCGAGGGAGTTCGCCGAGAGGGCATTCTTTGCAGCGCCCTTTGGCGGAATCCGCAAAGACTCGCGGAAGGCGGGGGGGGGCCCCCAGGAGGCCCTCAGCCGCACCAAGGGTGCAGCCCTTCCGCAGTCGCTCTCAAGACAGCCGACGCGAAAGATCTCGCAACAGGGGCCTCCGTGCCTGTTTCGCTCCGTTCCTGGATTCTGAAGGTGACAGACTGCGCCGCACTCGAAGCCTGCCGCTCACGCAGCGTGGGCTTTGCCTGCTGGCTGCATGTGCCGCAGGCTTCGAGTGCTGCGAACTGCAAACACGCGCCGTAGAATCACGCTTGGCCCTTTCCCTCCCCCTTCCCCAGCTCCACACTTGCATTTGCTCCCTCGAGTGATTTTCTTTGCAGGGCCGAGGGCTCTCCGTGGGGGGCCCCCTTTGGTTGGCACTCGACGGCCTTCGCGTTCGCCACGCGAAGACGCGATTTTCGCTTTCGTCTACGAGGCAGCTCAGGCTTCGAGGGAAGGGGCCCCCGGTGCTCTGCGGGCTCTACCGCGTCTCCTGTGGGGGCCTCCCCTCACCCCAGCAAATTCGCGTAAGGAAGGCTGGCTGGCGTGCACTCTCAGAGGCGTCGCTTCGAAATAGCTCCGTTGAGACTCTCATGCATGTTGAGAGGCGTCCCTTCGAAATAGCTCCGTTGAGACTCTCATGCGTGTTGAGAGGCGTCGCTTCGAAATAGCTCCGTTGAGACTCTCATGCATGTTGAGAGGCGTCGCTTCGAAATAGCTGCGTTGAGACTCTCACGCGTGTTGAGAGGCGTCGCTTCGAAATAGCTGCGTTGAGACTCTCATGCATGTTGAGAGGCGTCCCTTCGAAATAGCTGCGTTGAGACTCTCATGCATGTTGAGAGGCGTCGCTTCGAAATAGCTGCGTTGAGACTCTCATGCGTGTTGAGAGGCGTCGCTTCGAAATAGCTGCGTTGAGACTCTCATGCATGTTGAGAGGCGTCGCTTCGAAATAGCTGCGTTGAGACTCTCATGCTGTTGAGAGGCGTCGCTTCGGGAATGCTTCCTTGAAGCGCAACAGGATGACTAAAATTCTCCCCCTCCCCTCTCCCCTACCCCGCTGCCCCCTTTTTCCGAACCTCCATGCTGACCCCTCCTGCAAAGCTTTGCGACTGCCTCTAATTGTTGCCGCAGGCGCACTTTGCAGCTGCTGGCTGCCCCCTTGTAAATGACGAGGCGTACAGCGAAAGCAGCAGCAGCCACACGCGCGATGTCGATAGCGGGGGAAACTCCACCGCCTCAGAAGATCCCTATGGCCATCAAATTTCAGGTGCTCAGCAGGAGGGGCCCCCACTAGCGGTAGAGCTATGTGGGTCGCATGCGGATTCTGAGCCTTTCTACCCCACACTTTTCTCCGTGACTCTCGCTGAGGGAGTCAATTTGCAACAAAAGACCCCTTGCGACACCCGAACAGCGGGCGTGAAACAGTCGTCACTTACAGCAGCCAGCAGCTCCAAAAAAAAGGAGGATAGTGCTCGCTGCAGCACGCTAGGGTTGCAACTCTGCTGCTTGACGTTCCCGGACCCTCTAGGGCCCCGCATGGGCCAAAGCTTTACGGTGTCTGTCGAGGGGCCCCCAGACTGGCCGCAGGAGTAGAGGCAGAGCCTTCTCCTTCTTCTTCCCTCTCCGTTGCAGCCGCAGCGAATGCAGCATCAAACCCTCGCCTCGATACAGTCGACACTCCCTTGGCTCGCACAAACCAAGTGTAGAGAGAGACCCGCCTTCTCCAGGCAGCTGTGTTAATATATACATATATATATATAGATGCCTCAAGTAGCTGTAGTGCAACAAAACGCGAGCCGTCAATTTCGGTGCTTCTCCTTCTGGTGCAGTGCGCACTTGGCGTTGCCGGGCATTGGCTCGATTTGCAACTCCTCTAAACCCGCAGTTCAACTAACGCTTACAGGGGCCGTTCGTAAGGGGGCCCCGCTCTTGTGTGCCAACGCGGCCGTTTCTGCGCTCTGCATAGGGTGCGTAAGCACCAGCAGAAGCCAATACAGAACTTTGTAGACAGATTTCCAATACCTATCCACACGGGCTTCTTCCTCTGCAACGTCTCCCCTTAGGTCCCCCTACAGAGGGACCCTGCTCTACAGACTCTTTCTGCACACTTCAGAGAGTTGTAGTGTGCCTTAAGCTTCTTCTAAGGTCTTGATAGGGGCACTCTAAATGTCGAAGGCAACAAGTGGTTGTCACGACTTGCTTCGTGTTCTTCCGAAGACGTCCCGCCTCCTCCCTCAGATGTCCACCTTTAGAGGAAAGAAAGACACAGGGTGCGCGATGCTGTGCTGCCCCTTCCACGCACTCTCTGCGCAGGTACGGTGAGTTGAACGTTGACTCGCGTGTACATACACTCACCATTGTGCCGTCACGAAACGAGCTCGCAATACTTTCCGTTGAAATCGATAAATGAACAGACACACCCGTTTTTCAGTTCTTCACTGATTCGCAGTCAAATCTAGGGAGTGCACTAGAAGGTACTGAAGTGTAGCTTAGTCGGCTGCACATCCTCCCTCCCTCCCGTCTACCCCCTCGTCTCACCCCCGAGCCCTCATCACCCCTAAGGGGTCCAGCTAAGAAGCAGCAGGTTTATAGACACCCATGGTTTGCGTTACTGTGGCCTTCCTTCATGCACTCCGAACATTCATAGAGAGTTGGAGAGCAGAAGTACTACTTTCAACGCCATTGATTCCAAAGCGTGCCGACCTGCCCAACACTGTACGCCGCAACCAATAGCACATAAAGGCGGGCACGCCTCATAGCAATCAATATCTCAAGATTCCTGCATTAGAGGCAGCTGGCGTGGCAGAAAGTGCCAGCCTGCACCGTAGCCCGTCCCTATACACGTCATGGGGCCCCTGTGCGAAGTCTAGGGTTGAGTTACCTGAGAGTGCTCATGCATGCAATGGGCAGGACTAAAGGGAGCGCAATAGATCCTAATATTTTCCATCTCTCCCTTTTTGTATCAGCCTTAGACACAAGAAGCACTTTTGAACCGCGTGCATCCGGAAATCCCCAAGAAAGCCGCCACAGGACCGCATCACAAATCCTCTTCAGCAAGTTGGTCCCCCAAAGTTCATTTTTTAAAACCTTATCTGCACACGGGTGCGTTCACCCATTTTGCTTCAACCCTCCCTCCACAGGAGGGGGCCCCAGGAGGCGGTCGGGAGGGGCCCCCCCGACTACAGCAGATCGATGGATGCAACTTTGGATCCCCTAAACTCGATGTGCGCATCATCGGAGGCTTCGTTTTAGTCGTTCGCTTCTAGCTCGCTTTCCACCCTCACTGGGCAGCTCCGGCCATAGCGAGCATTGCATCTACGTTTTCGAGGCTGGCACTCCACAATGCATTGGGGGCAGCGCACCTCCGCAGGATCGCTCGATCCCCAGCGCATCGCTTCCATGCTGCTGCAGCGACGATCAGACGACTCTCCTAACCCTGGCGCCTCTGCTCGTCGAGATCTCAAGACAGAAGCTCCCAAAGGAACGAGTAGTGCCAGCAGCGCAAAGCCGAAACTCCCCACCCAGCAGCTTTGGAAGGGACGAACGCGAATCTACGAGGCTAAGGCCGAGCTAACGCAACAGAAAGACTTTACCAAACAGCCGCAGAGGGCAACCACCCCCCCACAAGCGCAGCAGCAGGAAGAACCAGACACATCTGCGGCAGTACAAGCAACAGCCGCTGTCTATAGAGCCAAGGCACAAACGAAGGGTAACTTGCATACTCTGCAAAAAACTTCACCCTCTTAGAACCCTCCTTTTCTGTCTCTCGCTCTCGGTATCCCTCTTCTCTCTCGATCTCTCCTACTCTTTTTTTTTTTTCTCTCTCTCTGTGTGTGTGTGTGTGTGTGTGTGTTTGTCTGTCTGTCTGCCTGTCTCTATCTCACTCTCTCTCTATCTCTGTATATATTTCGCATTCCCCTTTCTCGCCTAAAATTTAGCTTGTCTCAGCCCCCCTTACGCTGTCCATCATCCTGTAGTACCCATGCTCCCCCCATAAAAGCTTGACCATCGCTTTGCTGCTCTCTGCGCCTCCACCTTTTTGCTCCTCCCCGTCTTCCGCATGTCTCTTTCCTGCGATGTGTGTGGCGGCCGCTGTCTGCTCCTTCAGTAGCCGTGCGTCACTTGCCACCCACAGTCTCGGAGTCCACACTGCTACAAAGCCTTCCACCAACACTTTCCGAGGCGCTCCTTTCTTCTTCGCTTATTCAAGGAAAGCCCACCAAGTAATACACACGCGTTCTAAGGCCCTTGCACTCGCTGTTGCTGCTCCTGCTGCAACTTCTGGTATGACTGCTGTTTGCTCATGATATGCCTGGAACCTTGCGCGGTGTTGCTGCTGCCACAGATATGGGGAAGTTTCTTCTCCTAGTGTTTGGCTGCTCAACCTGAAGACGCCACAGGATGCAGAGGCCGCTTGTCGCTTCTTTAAAGTAATTTGCGAGATTCTTTTGGCAGTTTCTAGCGGGGTCGGGGATGGGCTGTGAGGCGAAGCTGTGTGTGTCTCTGAAATGCGGTGTACATACACCCCGATGATCGGGGTGTATGTTCATCTTCTTAAGGCCAGGCAGGCTCTGGCCGATCCACGAGCCGTGGATGACCCCTGCCCTTGTACACATCTGCCCACCACCTGCTCTTGCATTCATGCCGTCTTCCTGTAGGGTGTGGTATTTTCTGATGGCTGCATCGTCTTTCAGGGTCGTGTCTATGTGACGGCGGATGGGGCACTTTACACCTCTTTGAGCTGCATGGCACCCTATCAAAAAGCGCGGAAGCCGAGCAAAGCACCGGATAGACGGCAGGGAACCATCAGCGAAGGTTCGATGATGAAAGGGCGTCGCTAGGCAGCGGTAGTTCTGCTGGTGCAGCTTTTTCTGCACGCCTGCAACTGTTGCCTTCCAGTTTCTTTCCTCCTCACACGCTATTTTCCGTGTTCAAAGCGTATTCCTTACGGTATACCTGTCTACACACATATATATATATATATATACATATGTGGATATATATGTTCATGTGCATTGGGAGTCTGTATATTGTGTTTAGCTTTGCATCGTTTCTTGTGGGTAGGGCTTTCTGTATGCTGGCCGCCTTGCTTGTGCGTGTCACGCATTTATGCTTCCTGTGTTCTTTCAGATCCTTCGTATGTGGCTTTCATAGCTTCTTTAAATGAGGGTGGTGCGACGCTTCCAAGTGGCAGCTCACCAAAGCTGCCGCAAGCCGCAGCGCTTCCTCCCCTTATTGTTGATGGTACGCTGGCGATGCTTCCCATGAAGGCTTTTTCTTCACCCGATAAGCACTTCTCGCCCCTTACTTCCCTTCTCCGCTGTCCTCATTTGCCTGCTTCTGCACACCGCTGACATCGGGGTGTCGGCATGGCGTGTATCCTTGGATTTGCCCTTTGTGTGTGTGTGTGGGGGTGTGCATGCGTATATATATGTCGATCTGTCTGTTTGCTTGAGTGTTCGATTCGGATGCTTGCAGATGATGGCACTGTATTGAGCCTCATGCTCTTAGCGCTCCGGGAAAAGGCGGGCACCAAGACCTTTGTGCAGGTGAGCGTAACTGGACCCTCTGGCTGCTGCACATAGCCATATCGACTTATATGTTTCTACACGTGCATATTTCTCGATAAAACTATGCCTAAAGGGCCGATCAGGATCGTACAGCCCACTTCTGAGCACACGACTAGCCGGAGCGCGGTCGGTTATATGCAGGCGTATTATGCCATCCATTGCTGTGTATAATACCTGTGTGTATGTGTGTGTGGCCGGGTGCTCTCAGAAAAAGCTGTTTACTTCCGCCATGCTGCAGCAACATATTCAACGGGGGGGAGGGGCTCGCACATAAAGACGGACGGATCCTTCGGGTGCGAGGATCACGCAGACGACAAACCCGTCTCCATCCTACTGTGGCTGGCCCTTCAATGTGGCGGGCTGAGCTGTATTCAGGATCTCTCCATGACACTAGTTATATTTGAATACGCGCTGGTGAAGGCCTGATTATCTGGGTTGACTATTCGCATTGCAGCTTTTTTATTGCGGACTTGCATCGGTTCGCCACGGTATGACACATTCGTGCGTGGAGAGTTGCATTAAGAGCTGTACGTGCAAAAAGCTGTGAATCTCTCGAGTGTTTCGAGGGCGCACCCCGGCTCCCGCCTCTCCCCGTGTCGGCATCTCTGAGGGGCGAGGGAAGGGGAAGGAGGAATTCTTTTAGGGAACGTTTGATAACTTTCTATTCATTTTTGAAAGAGTCTGGAGATAAATCTGAGAGCTTTACACCCGAACAGCCCACGACACCCCAACACACGAAAAGCTGGTTCTGCTCTGCTGATACAATTCTTACCAGGCGGCCCAGTTGGCTGCACTCCACGCACAGCCGCGAACGCGCGCTGCGTGTGCAGATACAGACTGAGGAGTTAGGGTTCAAGTTTCCAAAAAGCGCATGTGCAAGTGTGTGCGCTAGATCAGCCGACCGGCTTTTCCACGACGGTTCCCAAGTTTGGGATGGCACAGGCGCCTCCTCACCCCAAAATCCAGCCGTTTGCAAAGAAACGAGCACTGCAATGTAATTCGAAACAGATGTCAGCCCGCTGGTCCCCGAAAGGGAAAAGCCCTGCGATCGGCACGAGATACCACCCCGCCAACCCCACGGTGGGGGCTTCGGGTCGGGCAGTCAGACCCCTCTGCATGCATGCATCTTTTGCAAAGGCCTTGGACTGCAAATTTAAGGCCCCTCAACACCTCTTTCATTCGTCAGTGCAGCTAGCTTGGGCGCGAATCGACTCCGCGGTCGGGGTGACCTTACACTGCACGATGCCTAAACCCCTGAACAACCCTTGCAAGGGTTCTTCTCTGCTTTTCCCTTCCTCAGCGCCTCCAACCTTCTCTGCGGCAGAGCTCGAGGCTCTGAAGCAGGGTGTCTCGCGTCGCGCTGGGCCGACCATCTCGAATGGGGGCAGTGCCTTCGTGGGGGGCCCCCTAGAGGGTGGGCCCCCCCCCCCCTCGGGGGGCCCCTCGGCCGAAGGCCCTCCTTCCAGCAGCGACCCCGAGGCTGCGGAAGCGGCGAAGCCGCTTGTGAGGGTGGAGGCTGAGGAGATGCCAGATCCTCGCTTTCGTGTTAAACCGAGGAGATACCAGCAGCAGTACGCTGCCCTCTACTTCTCAAGGCTACAGCAGCTGAAGCCCCATGTGCAGCAGGCTGCGCAGGAGCTCTGGCCTCAGGTTGTTTTGCACAGCGCCGTCAAGGATATCAAGCCAGGGGTGAGCTAGCGGTCGGATGGCTGTTTCTGGGAAATGTCGTGCCTGCGCTTCCGCCGCTATGGGAGGAGGACTGCAAGGGCGGCATGTAAGAATATGTTCAGGCATTCGTGTCAGAATTGTCTGTCTACCGACTCCACTTCCGATTATTTCTGTTGCGCAAGCCTCCAGCTGGAGGCAAGCAAAGCCTAGGGACAGTCGCACAAACTGCTGTGTGTGTGTGTGTGTGTGTGTGTGTGTGTGTGTGTGTGTGTGTGTGTGTGTGTGTGTGTGTGTATGTGTGTTTGTTTATGTTTCTGTGTGTGTGTGTGTATATGTATGTATGTGCATGTGTATGTGATGTGTATAAGATTGGAAGAGCACAGTCCAGAGCTGCAGTCACGAGAGGACTTTTGATACCGTCTTCATCTATAAACAAAAAATGTATTAGTTGTCTCGAGTGTATGTGTGATTGTTTTTGGTCGTGGGGGATGGGTGGGGGGGGTGGGGGTGGGGGGGAGGTGGGGGG